TACAATGTCACGAACCTCCTTTCACAGTTCTTCAGGCACTCTATCAGATCTAATCCCTTGAATCCCTTTAACATGTTTTGTTAAAGTGCTGCATTAAGGAACCTAGTACCTGCTTTGTTAGGCACTTTGTATCCCTTCAGTTTCTAAATCTTTCTGCAGCTTCCTCTAGGTTTACCTGTCTTTTCCTTTTTCGTGTAACAGCCATGTCGGCCCCGGTCATCCCTGGTTTTAGTCAATGTAGACTACTTTAGTTTGCCATCCATTAGCACTTTTAGGTTGGAAGTATGGTTAATTACTTAAATTCTCACAGTAACCTCATGAAGTACTCACTCTTGTCCTTATTTTACATGTGAGGCACAGAGAGGTCAAGGAGCACAGCCAAGGCTCCGCAGCTGGCAAGCGGCCCCGCTGGGACTGGAGCTCCACCGTGAAGCTCGAGTCTGGAGCTTTCAGTCCAGCTGCTGTGCTGTGCTGTGCTGTCTCTCAGTGGGAGAGAAGGGCAGGTGTTTCTGTGTCGGTTCATTTTTGTTCGAGGTGTAGAGCTTCTCTATACATTGTGTAGGGTTCATTTGCTTCTATACATTTGGTTCATTTGGTTCAGTGTATAGGGACTAGGTTGTTTCTGAATTCCTTAGTTGTTCAGAAGCTACAAGGTTGATGTTTATCCTTAAAGTGACACGTACACTTTGTGTACTCAGTATTATGCCACAGACTGATCATAAACCTAAGGAAGCAGTGCAGGGTAGGAGCCTGTATGAAGGAGATGACATTTTCAGAATTTCACCAACTACACTCCAGCTGCAAGTTGATTGAGCTCTGCTGCTGTGGCCTGAGTGGTGCATGGAGCTGGACTGCCGGCGTATGGAGCTGATTCAGCACATGGAAGCAGTGTGTGAACTGTGCCAGTAGAAAGACACAGCCTTGCCACCTTCCCCGCAGACAATACGCCACTTTACAAGAGTAGGTGTAGACTTGTCCGAATTACCTGTTTATGTTTAAATACATCCTGGTGGCTCAGACAGTGGCAAATCTGCCTGCACGGCAGGAGACCCGGGTTCGATCCCTGGGTCAGGAAGATCCTTGAAGAAGGGAATGGCAGCCCACTCCAGTATTCTTGCCTGGAGAGTTCCATGGGCAGAGGAGCCTGGCAGGTACAGTCCTTGGGGTCGCACAGAGTCAGGCATGACTGAGCAGCTGACACGCAACATAAGTATATGAAAATGTTTGCTTGCTTGCTTGACTTTGATTATAAATTTCTTAAGACTCTGGAGGTATATGTGTATGTATGTGTTTGACTTCATCCTTCTGAATAGTATTTTTAAAATAAGCTTTTTATCTTAGTTTTAGATTTCTAGAGTTAACAGTGAAGATAATGGAGTTCCCAGGTACCCCACACCCAGTTCCCCCTGTTGTATGGTACATTTGTCACAGGCATGAACAAGTATTTATACATCATTATTAACTGAAGTCTGTACTTTATTCAGATTTCCTTAGTTTTTAACCTAATGTTTTGTTTTCCTGTTCCAGGATCCCATCCTTGATATGTAATGTTTAGTCATATTTCTTAGGGCTCCTCTAGATTATGACAGTTTCTCAGATTTTCCTTGTTTCTGACAGCCATTTGAGTTTTGAGGCATACTATCAAGTATGTTTTAAGGGACCCCTCTGTTAGAGTTCATCTGATGTTTTCCCTGTGATGAAACTGGGATTATGGGTTTGGGAAAGGAAGAACACAGAAGTAAAGTGTCATTTTCATCATATCGTATGGAACATACAGGAGCATACTGTCAGCGTGAATTGTCACTGTTGTGTTGACCTTGATCACATGGCAGAGGTCGTGTCTGTCAGACTTCTCAAGTTACGCCCCTTCTGTACCGCACCCTTCGGAAGGAGGTCACTGTGCACAGCCCACACCTGAGTGGGGAGTTAGGCTTGACCTCCTTGAGCGTGTTGTCTTTATAAATTATTTGAGAGTGTTCTTCATGGGATATTTTTCTCTTCTCCTCTGCTTGTTTGTTTGATCATTTATGGATTCATGGCTGTTTATTTTATACTCTGTATTACATTCCAGTACTACTTTATTCTGTTGCTCAGATTGTTTCAGCTTTGGCTTTTGGGTGTCCTTTCGTTCGGTTCGTGTGTTCCTTTGACATACCCTGGTGTCATTTTTTGTCTTGGTTTGTTTTTGACCGCTTCTCTACTTTCTGGCTCTACAAGATGCCCCAGGCTCATCTTGTGTGTTTCTTGCCCCAGTCCTGAGTTCAGCCGTTTCTCCAAGGGGGCCTTTTATTGAAGAATGGTAGTTAGAACCCAAGATCTGGATGGGTAGTATTATTTTAAGATATCTTTTCCTGACACTTAAACACACAGACACACACAGACACAGACACACACACACACACACTTGTAGTAGGATGGGTAGTATTATTTTAAGATATCTTTTCCTGACATTTAAACACACACACACAGTAGCAGTAAGTAGCCAAAAGTAGTCCACACACACACACACGTAGTAGCAGTAAGTGGCCAAAAGTAGTCCCAGCCTTATTGCAACTTTTCGTAAGGCTAAGAGTTCTCACACACTTGTAGTAGCAGTAAGTGGCCAAAAGTACACACACATACACACACACACACACACAGTAGCAGTAAGTGGCCAAAAGTAGTACACACACACACACACACGTAGTACCAGTAAGTGGCCAAAAGTAGTCCCAGCCTTATTGCAACTTTTCGTAAGGCTGAGAGTTCTCGGGGCAGCCAGAAGAGCTAGGATAGGGTAAGGGCGGAGGCCTGGGGCTCAGGAGCTTTCACCCACTTCCTTCAGGTCCCGCCTCTGCATTAGATCAGGCAGATGTTATGGCGGGTTACTAAAAGGATCTGTCTCAGTTGTATTAATATTTGTATCTTTAGCCAGGCCATGTTTGAAAGTAGAGAGTCTAATATTGGTCACAGTCCTTTCACAAGGACCTTCCTGATAAATTGTTCTTCTCGTTTAGTTCCAGGAAAATTATCTTGGAAGATAAATTTGTGAGCTTTCATCAGTAAACAAATGATGCGTAACCCAACTTGTTTCTTTCTTAATCTTGGCTTCCGGAAAACTGAGAGCCAAATTTATTGTGCAGATACCATTTGCTTAGTTCTAATTGTTAGTTCCTTCATTCTATTTGATAGTACCTATTTGTTTCTTCTCCCAGGTGAACTCTGTTCCTTAAATTCTTAATTGCTTTATTTGCCTGTTTGGGCCTAAGCTACTTGATACTTTTGAAGCAGGTAGGGTATTATCTTGAGTGTGTGGCAAAGGAAGAGGGTCAGGCTTCCGGAGCAGGACCTGCCCAAGAACCTGTTTTCTCTGACCAATACCTAGACTGGTCCAAGAAAATCGAGTTCTAAATGAGTCTGTATTCCCAGTGGACCTGTATTCTCACTTATTTTATGATGTGAGTATTCACATATTCTTGACATCAGCTACTGTGCATGTACAATTAACACTGTCCTATTTTATAAGTTGTGAACTTTACCTTGCCTTTTTTCTTCAGAAGGTGTTATCTAGAAACAGACCTTTATTACTTCCTATTCCTTGATGTCATATGGACAGATTTTATGGCTTGATATTACCTTTGTTTAATTAAGAACTTCACAGTAAATTTTTAAACTGTTCTTTTATTGTTTCAGAGGGATCCTTTGCGAGCTTGCTGTGCCCCTTTGCGGACTTGTACTGGCCCATTGGACTCAGTTTATGCTGCCTGCTTCATCCTTGCAGGCATACGCTTTGTGGTCTTGTTCTGTGGGCTCTCTGTTTTTAAAATTTCTCAAATCTGGCCCCTGTCTCTCCATACCCGAAGCCTTTGTCATTTCTAACCTGGATTCCTGGGTTAGTGTCCTAATCCATCTTCTTATCTCTAGTATTCTTCCCTCTTGAATCTCTTCACAATATTTGGTCTCTTCACAGTTTTAACAGATTTATCTTTCTGAATTGCAAGATGAATCACATTACTCTCATTTCAAAAAAAAAAGTATAGAGAAATCTCACTACTCAAAAATAACTAATGTTATTTAAGTGCTTTAATTAAATATGTTTATATGTATGCTTCTCAATTTTTGTCTTTAAAATCTCACCTATAATTGAATCTTGATTTACAAACAGCATTAGAACATCCAGTTTATTGTAAGGAATCCACTCCTTTTGAGTTCCACATCGCAGGTAGCTTCCTGTCTTAGGTAATGAAATGTGCCTTCTGCCCAGACACTCATGTGCTCTAGAAAAGAAGCCTGAGACCCAGTCTGTCATAGTACTGTGTCAAACCCTTGCTTTATTTGCGACCATTCACTTAGCAGTATATGCCGCTTCATCTGTTACAGGCCTCTCTCTAGAAATGGAGCAGTTTAAGTTTGGAAAACTTAGAAGAGCCAACAACTTAGAAGACAGGGATTGTTATTTTTGGAAAGCAAAGATGTCTTTTTTTAGGAGTAACTTCTTATCCCCACGCCCATCTTCCCACACCTCGTGTAGCCCTTGGCATGATTAACGTGAAATTTGCAGGAGCAGCTCTCCCAGACTTGTCCTCCGTCAAGCCATCTTCTCTGCCTCTCCTTGTATCAGGGGCCCCATTTCCACTCTCCACTCGCACCACATCAAGATTTGTGTTATACAAGAAATGTGTCCTCACATATCTTTCTCCTTTTTATAGTATGTTCTTTTGGTAACTGTCCACTTATATTTTTGTGACACATCTCTCTCTAGGAAATGATCTTGGCCTACAGTGTATAAAGTGAGCTTTTGCTAATAAAGTCACTTATATCAACTGTATCAACTGTTAGAATGTTTGAAATTTACTGTATTTGAGTTTCACCTTCTAATTCTTATCTTTGGGAGTGTTTAGACCATATTATCATAATAGACTGTCTTTTATAGAGAGTGTTTTCTTCCATTTCTCCAGTTTCTATAAGTTCTCTTCACAAGTATTATTTGCTACCTGTTCTTACTTACTTTTTACTTTTAGATCACAGATTCTGCTGGCCATATTCTGTACTCCAAGGAGGATGCAACCAAGGGGAAATTTGCCTTTACCACTGAAGATTATGACATGTTTGAAGTGTGTTTTGAGAGCAAGGGTAAGTAAATAAGAGTGTTTTCCCTGAATTAAGCAGCATCTTCCAAGTAAGTTAGAGCATGAACTTTTTCTCTCCTGGCCTGGGCAGGAAGAGGAAATGAAAACTACATTTGCTGGGATGCAGAGACATTACTTTGTCAATAAAGGTCCATCTAGTCAAGACTGTGGTTTTTCCAGTGGTCATGTATGGATGTGAGAGTTGGACTATAAAGAAAGCTGAGCTCTGAAGAACTGATGCGTTTGAACTGTGGTGTTGGAGAAGACTCTTGAGAGTCCTTTGGACTGCAAGTAGATCCAACCAGTCCATCCTAAAGGAGATCAGTCCGGGTGTTCATCGGAGGGACTGATGCTGAAGCTGAAACTCCAATACTTAGGCCACCTGATGCGAAGAGCTGACTCATTTGAAAAGACCCTGATGCTGGGAAAGATTGAGAGCGGGAGGAGAAGGGGACGACAGAGGATGAGATGGTTTGATGGCATCACCAACTCGATGGACATGGGTTTGGGTAAACTCCAGGAGTTGGTGATGGACAGGGAGGCTTGGCATGCTGCAATTTATGGGGTTGCAAAGAGTCGGACGCAACTGAGCGACTGAACTGAACTGAACTGATATACATCTAAGTTAAGGTCGGTGAGTGGGTAGAGTTCTGCATGTGCAAGAGTAAGCATTTCTTGAGTGCTATACTTGGCTTGAATAACAGAGTTAAATTTTGTATAGATGCTAGAAAATAGTGTATTTTTATGCTAGTGACATGTTTTCTTAGAGGTTAGAAGTAGGGTCTGTCTGACAAATCACATCTTGTCAGAAACACTTTTGATCTCCAGGGCACTTGCTGCTTCCCAGTCCTGGTGTCTTGCTGTGGGCTTCTTCTGTGCATATCAAGGCCAAGAGTCCTTAGAAACTTCTAGGCTGATTGATTACCTGATGGCTTCTGCACATGGTGGTTGGTGAAAAAGCAGATGCTGCTTCACTCCCTGTTCTGCAGCTTTAAGGACACCAGACTCTAAAACCTGTATGCATTTATACCTGTCATATTACTTGGGACCCTTTGGGGCTGCAGGACAAAGGGAACGAAATTCAAACTGGCTTAAAGGAAGACTGTGTGACTGTGAGCCGTGGAGTCTACAATGTGGTGCTGACTTCAGGCACGACAGTATCTTGGGGTTTTAACAGCATCATGGGCAATTTACCTCATTTTTAGTGCTTTTTGCCTCCATTTGACTTTATTCTCAGGCTTTCTCCATAGGGTAGCAAAAGGACTTCTGGCAATTTTACATTTATGCAGTGTTCAGAACATAATGATCCTAGAAGAACAAGCACCTTAGCCAACAGCACCAATGGATTCCCAGGAATAAGAACTAGCAGCTTTTAACAGTTAACCAAAAACTGACCCCTTGACCTCAAATGGGTCAATTTAGTCTGAAAGCTAAAGAAGTTCTCCCAAAGTAAATAGAATAATAGAATGGAACATTAAAAGACTGTAATAATGACTTCATGATTGATACCCTTCTCCCTGCCTCTTGCCTTGCCAGTTCCAGGATGTGTCAATAGTATTATAGATGGTTGTACTGTTCTTACCTCAAAACTCAGACATCTAAGACTATATTCATGACCACCTCTTTCAGACTAGTTCCCTTTATTCATCAGTATTACCACAGTCTTTCCTTATCTGGGCTCACATTTTTGAAATTACATACTTATGTCTTTTCTGGTCTGTCATCAAGTTGTGCTGATACTTCTTTCAAAATACCTCCTATATCTGCCACCACACAACTCTGAACTCTCAACTATAAAATTGTGGATTATGTCAGTAGCCTTCTAACTACTGCTTTTCTAATTCCTGCTTTTCATATATCCAAATAATGCCACCAGATTTATCTCTTAAAACTTGCATTATATCAGTCCTTATTTGAAAGCTTTGTAGCTGCTTTGTAGTGGCAGTGATGTTCCTGTTGTGTAGAATGAACCCCAGAATCATGAAATTTTCAAGCTAGATGAGATTTTAGGCACCGTGGCTTTTAATAGCCTTTATACTCTTGCTCCATCCAGCCTTATCTCCTCTGCCCATCAGGCTGCAGCCATTCTGGTTCATTTTTCCCTCTAAACTTGTCACATTTATTCATTTGCTGGAATACCCTCTTCTTATATTAAACATAAGTTTACTTTTAGAATACATCCCGCAGCCATTCTGGTCTGCTTAATATCTCAATCAACTGATTTATCCATCGCAGTTCTAGGTGTTGGGGAGATAGCAATGAATACAACAGAAGTCTCTGCTCTCGATGGAGCTTACATTTTCATTGGATCAAATAGACAGTAGGCAAATATAAGTCAGATGGTCATGAGGGCTTTGGGGAAAAGCAAACACCTTGAGATGCTGAGCTTGTCTCAGAAATAGCAAGGGGGTAACTGTGGCTTCCTCCAAACATCGCATCACTCGCTACTGGAGATACACATATCTCACACACACAGCCTTGTGTTGTTTAAATGTCTTACATGTATATTTTACACTCCCAATTTTGAGTTCTTTGAAGGCAGAGATCTTTTGTTTTAAATTTCTTATATGCTGATGGCCGTGCATGTAAATGTCTAGGAACTAGTTTTAAACTGTGTATGTGTGTATATATATATAAACATGTATATACACACACATTTTGTAGGTAACACTCAATTTCTAGTTTTATTTGAGTTTATCCATTTGTTTATTCTGTTATGAAGACCTGATACCCCGTGGTCTTTGGAGCACCTTTTAAAAGATTGTCCATTTGCCAGGTAAATGCAAAGGGAAATTACTATGGGTCTTTTTACAAAGGAGACCCCTTAAAGCCATGATGTCAGCTAAGGGGATAGGCTGGCTGTTCTGTGCAAGAAACTGTATGGTCTGGACTCCGATGGTGTGTGGTTTTGTGGTTTCACTTGTGTTTGAATAATGCTGAAGCTGTGCTGTGACAGAGAGATTGTGGGAGAAGTCTGTTAGGAGAGTATCTTGATCGAACAGGTGGAGCTATGAGCTGCTTGGATTTCACTTTTAAATAAGGAAAAAGAAGCAAAAAATTTGGATTTGGGAGAAGATACCTCTCTGGGGGTCCCTTTTTTGTTTTGCTTTCTTTTGTTCTTGGAAACCTAATTGGTTTAATGCTCAGAAGGGATCTGTGATTTGGCTTAGTTTCTTTTTTTTTTTTTCTAGTATTTATTTATTCATTTGACCGGGCCTTAGTTTTGGAATCTTCAGTCTTTGTTGTGGCATGTGGACATTTTAGTGGTGGCATGTGAACTCTTAGTGGTAGCATGCGGGATCTAGTTCCCTGACCAGGGATCAAACCCGGGGCCCCTGTGTTGGGAGTGCAGGGCCTTAGTCTCTGGACCACCAGGGCTTAGTTTCTTGATCCTACCTATTCAGTCTTACTTTATTGCTTTCAACTTGATCTGTCCGGTTTATCCAGAAGAGCGTCTTTACTGTCCTTTAAACATGCTGCACTCTTTTCTCCCTTCCTGGTTATTTATTTTTGGTTGTGCTGGGTCTTTGTTGCTGCTCACAGGCTTTCTCTAGTTGAGGCGAGTGGGAGCCACATTTTAGTTGTGGCGGGTGGCTTCTAATCCACTGCACCACCAGGGAAGTCCTCCATTCCTTCCAATAGCTGAGTCTTTGCCCATGTGTTCCCTTCTGCCTAGATACTTTCTTTATCTGCCTTCAGGTGTTGACGTCTGTCCACAGCTAATCTCTTCCCTCTTCTAATCTTTGCTCAACAGCCGGGATTATCTGAACCATTTTTGGTTTTGTTTTTTCTTTAAAGTTTTAGACTGCTTTGTATTTTCACTGTGCTGTTATGCATATTTGTGTCTTAGATGCCCATCAAATTATTTGAAGGCAAGGATTGCAGTCACCACCACGGTCCTAGCACTTGGTGAGTTCTCAGTGAGTTGCTTTTTGAATTGATATTTCAGAAAATCTCCAGTGTTTCTCAGGGTACAGTACCGTTCTCCATGGCTTATCGTCTCAGGAACCACAATGCTTAAATGGCACTGTTTCCCAGAACTCCTGATTTCATGCAGGTAGTTGTTAGTTTTATAAGTAATCAGGTGAATTCCACAGGATGAGGACTGAGCAGTTTTCTGGGGCTTTTTGCAATCTTTCCCTTTCTCCTACTTGATAAGGATAGAATTCTTGTTGATCAGATTACCATTTCTCATGAGAACGTTGCTCTGTTGGTCCTACTATATCCCAAATGGACTTTTCTGTTTGTAAGAGGTATCCCTGAGAATTGTATTCTTACTATTGAGTTTCTTCTTGGGCTCCTTTAAGGGCTTTGTGGGGATAGTCCTACACTTGATCTTAGCCAAAAGGCCGAGAAGCGACGTGTGGGGATAGTCCTGTACCATTTACCTGTTGAAATGGCCTTACGTTGACTAAAACCTTTGAAATAAGTGGAATAGAAGACAAATCCTGTGTACTTTTCAGTACTCATATTTATGTTAAGTAAATCCAAGCTCAGCTTATACCTGGTAATCCTTCTCTCAGAATTTCACAGGCCTTTTTCAGATGTGGAAATGTGCCTGCTCAGCCTGCGTGGGTGCCCACTACCTACTGGTCTATATGCCACAGTGGTGCACAGTTCTGACTCTGGTTTCCTAACCTAGTGAGTCTGTGTGTGTTCTCTTCTCCTATTCTGTTCCTCTGTTCTATCAGCTGCAGGATCGTGTGTCCTGCTCCCTCAGAGATGTTTGCCAGCGGCATGTTCTTGTCGCTTTCCGGCACCCCACACACATAGAGGCTTTGTCTGGAATGCTTGTGATTTCTAACCAGAGCCAGGAATTTTCTGCAGCTGAGTAGGGGGAGGAGCTGCGACTGTTTCCCTCTATTGAGAGGGTAGGGGTTAGGGAGAGGGAGGGCGGGTGGGTGATTTCCCGGAATTTTAAATATTCCTCACAATGAACCCTTTGATTTCTTTCTCAGGAACAGGGCGGATACCTGACCAACTCGTGATCCTAGACATGAAGCATGGAGTGGAAGCAAAAAATTATGAAGAGGTATGTCCTGCTTAACAGCCAGTGGAGGCAGTAGCTTGCCGTTCTGTGAGGTTTCTGTGACCTAGTCAGGCCAACAGGCTGTGCTTTGCCCAGAAGGCTGTGGTTTTCTCAGCAGTCATGTGATAGCCAGCTTGATATAAAAAAGTTGTGTTAACAGCCTTGAACAATAATTCTGGCTGTGCTGTCAGCCAAATGACTGGACCAACTGTCCCATAGAAATGTTGGTGTGATAAAACACTCAAGCACATGCCAGAAGTGCTCTTGAGACAGAAATCAGATATATATTTAGAATTTCTAAAAGCGAGAATTCATTAATGTTAATGTTCAAGGTTAAGAAAAGTGATTTTTTTTTTTATTCCTATGGTTTTTATTCCCAGACTGACAGCTATGTGTAGGTATAGCTAGGGCATAGATTCAGTGCTCTTTAGACTTGAACAGTTGTGTTGTCTTTGAGAAACACAATAATCAAAAGTGGCTTTTAATTAAAATAATTTCAAATTTTTCAAAAAGAGAGCAAGATGGAAGGAAAAAACTACAAGAGACCTGGAGTTTGCTGACAGCATGTATTGTAGAGAATAAAAATAGGCGTTTATTTGGGTGGTAGGGAGCTGGAAGTGTGCTTAGAATTAGGGGATGGGGCCTGGGCTCTTTTAATCTGTTGTGAGAGACTCTGGGGCAGCACAGGACGCTTCTTTAAATGAAGAGCACCTGTGAAAACCACAAGACCTATTTAAGACTGGAGGATTGATCTTTACAGAAAGATAAGAGTATTTTTTACCTGAGGTCAGTCTTTTTATGAAAGTACCTGAAGGCATATAGAAGAGACGGGCTACAGGAAATGTAAATGGATTTTGAAGAATGTAAACTGAATAAACAAAGGAAAGTTGTTTTAAGTGATGTAAGATAATTTTCTAGGAATGGTGGAGCCGGAGAGGTTGTTCTATCTTTGGTCAGAATTTGGAAGGGAGATATCCTAAAATGGAAGAAGATTGGAAGCTAGTGGCTGGCTCTGCAACAGGAAGTAGTAGTACAATAATTGTGGCTCTCCAGGTCTTTCCTCTTTTTTCTTAGTTCATGTGTTCAACTGAGCAAAACTAGACTGAATTATTTGTAGGCAGTAAATCGGAGCAAGTGATGCAGTTGTGAATGGAAGGCAATTCCTGGTAGAGACTTTGGTTGCTTGTTTCTGTCTCCAGGCTGGTTTAATTAAAAGAAATAAAGCCAAGAACTTTTTTGTTCAGTGAACTTAAGAGTAAATTGAAAAATCCTTTTGAACTTTTATGAGTCAGAGGAATCCTAATTGTATTTAGTAAGTTAAAGTACTATTGTATGATATAAAACACTACGAAAAATGTTGTATTATTATGAGGTTGAAGAATAGGTAAAAGAATTTTCAGTTTTTGAATACTGCTGCTATATTCTCACCCTCAGATTAGATGCTAGACATAGCTGCTGCTTCTCTGAAACAGACAGTATCATTCTGAGTTAACATACACAGTAATGTGGACATCACCACTGTATAGCACTTTAGAGCCCCCATACCCCTGTGCCTCCTGGAATTTCCGTCATCCTTGGACCTTGTTGACACTAGGAAGGGGCCTTTATCTTTCCTGACCTTTTACTTAACCCAAGAGGGGAATCCCTAGCAGAAAGGAAACCACGGAGCTTCCTCTGCTGCTTCCTGCCTCAGCAGTCTGGCACGTCCTCAGCCTTTCTTTACGCACATGGTTACAACACAGCTCCAGATTCTCTTTCTTAACCAAGAAACTCCTCCCACTACTTTCTTTGGTGCCCTACCTCCCCTCTCCCCGACCCCTCAATCAGAAAGCAGATCAAACTGAGACAAAGGATGACATGTGATTATGACACAGGCCAAAAACCAGCCCTTTTCTCAGGCCAGAGCTAGGCTGGCTCCCTCGAACCTTGCTCAGAAATAGCTGTTTAGTGTCGCTGGTCCAATACCTGTGACAGGAACATGAATAATAGGAGCGCCTGCTGTGTAGCTTATTACCAGAGAGCACTGCACATATGTAGAGGTTTTGAGGCGTTTAATTTCAGGCCCTTGGGGCAAGGGAAAGGCTTTATCTCCAGAGGATTGGGGCCCTTTGGCATCAGTATTTAGATTCAGGAAGGAGGTATGTTTTTTTTTTTTCCATTTATTTTTATTAGTTGGAGGCTAATTACTTTACAGTATTGTAGTGGTTTTTGCCATACATTGACATGAATCAGCCATGGAATTTACATGTGTTCCCCATCCCGATTCCCCCCCCCCCGCCCCCGTATGTTTCTTTTAATGTTTTTTCACATTGAATATCTCTCCCTCACATTTGTGGACTTCATAAATCTGAAATCCCACATGGTCCTGTACAATTAAGTAGTAATCATTGTCTAAACAACTGGACAGAGTACCACACTACCTACCAAATTATTATGGAGGTTTAGTTAATGCATGTGAATGCATTTGTCTACATTTGCTATGTAGACAAATGTAATTTGTCTACAAATTACAAATGTAAGGTAACATTATTTGAAGGCAGAATGGTTGACATTTTGTAAAGAAATAGTTTTGTAGCTTGAAATCTTTAAATAGAAAGAATGCTTATTTCCTCAGAAATAAAACATTTTTAATTCCCTCCAATAGATTTTAAGGATCTCTCACCACTATCTTTTGCCCCTAAGAGGGTCCCATTTTGGTAGAATCAGTATGTGAATTGAGCCATTTCTTTTTAGTTTGTGGTCTGTGAACTAGAACAGCTGTTTGCAGGCACTTATTATCTAATCTTACAAGTTGTGGGAATGAAGGCAGTTATCCCACCAGGAAGGAGCTGTCTGACATATCCTCTAACTCGCTGGGCTGTGTATGTCCCTTCTTGCTTAGGTGTCAGTATTTTCAGCACAACTAAAATCATGTTTTGCCTAGAGGTTCTATTAGTATACCATTTGCTACCGACAGATACACCAGAAAGGCAGTTGCACTTTTTGAAGCATCAGCTGAAGCCTTTTCAAAAGTTCTGTTTCTCTGAATGCCCTCATGAGGAGGAACTCTGGTTCTACATACTAGATCCAAAAGCCCTTTCTTGACATAGCTTAAATGAAATAACATGGGTAAGCTACTTGACACATAGGCGATCAGTTCAGTAGATTTTAGCTCCCTTCTCCTACCCTGCCTAGAAGCTGCCGCATGGCTATGACAGAGTGAATAAAGGATCTTTCTAAATTTCACTCATTGAGTCCTAAGAGTGGCAGTCTTTTCTGGACTTATTTTGGCATGTTGTTGACCTTCTGACCTTCGTTCAAGAAGCCTGTGATCCATGTGCCCTCATGCATAAGTAGACTTGGCTTTGGGTGTAAGTCTGTCTTCATTGTCTTGATTGTGTTAAGACTGGGTGGTTTCCTCTTTTATTGCTATGCTTCTAAAATTTGCAGGGGCTGTGAGTGCGGGTATGGAGATAACAGTCATTTGCCTGAATCTGGCTCTCCTCATAAAGCTTCTGTCTTGAGTTTCTCAAAGTTCCACCAAGGGAAAGAATGCAGTGATTCCCTAGAGGCGGGTTCCACGTGTGTGTTTCAAGAAGCCGTCTTTCAGATTTACCACCTTCCCTTGGTATAATCACATAGAACTCTGAACTCTTCAGAATTCAAATCATCATTAGAGGAATGGAAGATTTGGGTATAGTTTAAGAATAACTTTACAGTTATTTGGGAGGTATTGTAGATGTGCAGGGAAAGCTTTTCAAACAACACCTCCCACTACAGATGAGAGTGGGATATTGTGGTAGAGAAAACTTTCTCCTAGGCAGTGGGCCTGGTGAAAATGAATGCTGACTAACAGTTGATGCTCTTAACATTGAAGAAGTACTTGCTTCAGGGGACCAGCAGCACTTAATATCTGCTATAGGAAGTTGACTCCTTAAAGAAAGCACAGAATGGATACAATGGGTCAGCTTCAAGTATGTACCATGTATCAGGCATGTGGGACTACACAAAGTATATATCATTCTGATGCTGTTGCATTCAAGATCCAAACTAGTGTGGGGGAAAAGGATAAAAAGCAAAACAACATGGATATGACAGTGTATGATTGAGTGTTAATAGTGTGGCACAGTCTTAAATGTTGTGGGGCTTTAGAGAAGAGGGAATCAGTGTGGACAGTAGTGGTTAAAGGAGTCTTCATGGTTAAGGCTGGAAAGATAGGTGGGATTTGGATACCCTGAATGTGTATGCTTTTGGAAGTCAGGGATTCATTTTTGCTTACATTTTATAGCAGAGCTTTGCAGTTTTGATGCTAAATAAATGCTTTGGTGACCCTGAATAGGGAGTCATGAGAGTATGGTACTGGTGGTCTTGGTCTTGCATTCCGAGGACTGAGTAACTTTATGAAATTGTCAGTTTCCTTATTTGTAAAATGAAGTCTCTTTTAGCCCTGGTATTTATTTAATGGTTAAATGCAGCCTGAAAGGGGAATGCTACCTCCTAGTGGAAAACCTGTGAAATAGGCTTTTGCTTTTATCAAACTTGGCAAAACACACGTCATCCTTCAGATCATGGAAGAGAAAAGTAGACTAGAATAATAATGGCCTGCCTTTATGAAACAGGTTTAATTTCACATTCTTAAAGATATCTGAACATTAAATCAGATGTTTAGAGTAGAAGAACAGTCAGTGGGGATATTGATAGAGATTTTCTTGTTAGCTCTTTGTACTGATGTTCATCCCACTCAGAAGTCTGGAGATAATTTACTGAATTAAAGACAGGATTGAGTAGGGATTTCATTGGGGAAATGAGATTCAACTTGGATATGTTATGAATAAAAGTATAGAGTCTAGAGTAAGATTTGTACCAGAGAAGGGTTAGGAAATTGAATGCTTAAACAGTGGCCTGTGTACCATATGGAATACTGTGCAGCATTTAAGAATGGGGTAAATCTACAAGCACTTAAGTTTTTAGAAAGATTTTATTAAATGAAAAAAAGGAAGCCATAGAACAACATATACATTATAGTCACATTTATAGATATGTTTTTAATTATATTTTCCTTTGTACATTTGTAGACACACAAAGGCATAAATAGTGTGTTATCTTCTATCAAGGTCTTGAAAGATATACACTAAATTCATAACCAAAGTTACCTTTAGAAAGGAATCGGTGGACGTAGGGATTGAGGAGCTGTGAGGATGGGCCTTTTGTGTGTATTTTCTTTACTTCTGAATAATTTAAATTCTTTAGTAGGAGGAATGTGTTTCTTGTTTGGGATTGGGAACAGTTTTAGGAGACTACTAAGGCTGTTCTCAGTACCAAATTTATTTTCTTTCCGTCCTCCTGTTTTGGATCTTAGGCCTTTGGGGTATTGTCTCTTAACCCAAAAAAAGGATGGGGAGTTAGAAGTAGTCTTCAAAGTGATTTTAAAGAATATTATTTTCAGCTGGCAGAGAAAGGTACAGCCACAGTTTCACTTCCAGTTCCTTTTGTAAGTTTCTGTCTGCTTGTGCTTGTGCTGAGTTGTCCACTGTGTCCGACTCTTTGCGGCGCCATGGACTGGAAGCCCTTCCCAGGCTTCTCTGTCTATGGTGATTCTCCAAGCAGGAATACTGGAGTGCACTGCCCAGCCCTCCTCCAGGGGATCTTCCCAACCCAGGGATCAAACCCAGGTCTCCCACACAGCAGGGAGCTACCGTGGGAAGCTGAGCTGCCAGGGAAGCCCAAGTTTCTATCTAGGGAGCCTTAATCATTTACCTCTATAAAGACGTATTACACTGTTGCCTTTATATTATCACATTCAAGAAGCTTTGGAGGGGAAAGCATATACCAGGAGGAAATATGTTAAACAGGCTAACGTTCGGCTTATTTAATTATGTGTCTTGTATCCTTTTCCTGGGGGGGTTTCTTTGCTCTCCATCTCTATGTGAGATCAATTAATAGATATATATTGTAGGTTAATGGTAAAGCCTGACATTTGTGTATTCAGCTAGGAGTGTTAGCTCAATGTATTGACAGTTGTGTAAATCTCATACCCAGTTAGCTTCATTCTGTTCTGCATCTGTCAGTCGTGCCATTAACTCTACCCAACCTTTTATAATTATAAGAAAATGTACATCCAGTGAAAGAAAACTTAGATAGATCATTAAAAACCCATCCCCATATTTTTAGGTACCTTAAATATAAAGTCAATTTTTATATTCCTATCTTAACAGTTTCTAGTTTTCTTTTTTTTTTTTTTTTTAATAACTTTGGCTTGTTCTTCAGTAAATAGAACATAAGAACACCCTCAAGCTGTTCCCATTCACCCCATGTTAAGTGCTGTCAACATTTAACAGAGAAAGTACAAGAAAGTTTCATTGGACAAAAGAGAAGAAAAAGTAGGGAGTTATGTAGAGAATGTGTAGGGAATGAAGAAGCAGATGCAGAAATATTTTTTGAAGAATTCTCTGTGGTAGAAAATTAAGAGCAACTGGTACATGAGTTTTAAGATTTGGAAAGCTCTGATACTATATCCACATTTTTAAAGCAAATCATGATCTAAGATTGGTAAGAAAAAGCAAATAGAATAATGAAATCCTTGCTCTGGTCATAGGTGCTTTCAGTTACTAGATGCTTTTAGAAGTTTCACAGTGGTCTGGGAAAGAAGCAAGTTTATTTCTCACACTCTATGCTCCTTAGCACACGAGGGTATTGTTGGGGATTTATTTTGATAACTGGCATTGCAGTTTGAGTTATTATCTTAGTGCTATAGTTATCTGTACTCTCTCATTCCTGTGCATTCTCTATTGGGAATTTGGTATGTTTTCTTCTTAAAATCACATTTGATTAATACTGTGATGCTCACCCTTACGTCTAATAATATTGCTTATTTCTTAGACAAAAGTGAAATGTCAAGTAAAATGCTTTATTAAAGTCAGAAAAATTGGGAAATATAGCCTACCATGTTATTAGTATTTCTAAGGAGGTTTTAATCAGAATGAAAGTATAAAAAAAGTCTGAGATAAAAACATCTAGACAGTAGGGAAGGGAAGAAGCCCAAATTTTAAAATGTGTTAGAATGATGACAGATTTTAAGATCGGTGAAACTTTTAAAAAGACTCCTCTGTTACATAGTGTTCTTGACCAGAGCAATTTTTTTAGGGAATGGGTTCATAATTCCTTTTTTTTCCAGATTGCAAAAGTTGAGAAGCTCAAACCTTTGGAGGTGGAGCTACGACGCCTCGAAGACCTTTCAGAGTCTATCGTTAATGATTTTGCCTACATGAAGAAGCGAGAAGAAGAGATGCGCGATACCAATGGTGAGAGGAGGGCGACTCTTACTTCTCAGTGAGTGCACCATAAAGGAGATAGGTCCCCATACTTTAAATTCTGATGTACCCCTTTCTCAGTTTTACCAAAGGGTGTTTTATGAAAGGTGATTTGCTCACTTCAGTGCTGTTGCTGTTACAGGTAAATGAGCCTTGTTTGATTTTCAAGGGAATAGCATTTTTTTCTGTAATAAGCAATTGATCATATCAGTCAGCTTAGTGTATCAAATTAATAGCACTAATCTTTGTAATTTTAACATATAGGATAATGAAAATTAAAGAAAAAACTATCTGAAGTCCTACTGTAAGGTTTAGGGGCAGCGTGAAGCTAATTGCCTTTTCCCCTGGTCATTTAGCCTGCTGAGCCTCACTTCATTATATTTACACTGCTTTTTTTTTTTTTTAGAGTCCACGAACACTCGGGTCCTGTACTTCAGCATCTTTTCAATGTTCTGCCTCATTGGTCTGGCCACCTGGCAGGTCTTCTACCTGCGTCGCTTCTTCAAGGCCAAGAAGTTGATTGAGTAATTAAGCCAAGTCTCCTCCCACCTTGAATCTTGGCCAGCAGAACATCGCTGGGACGTGCCTGGCAAAAGGCATCCTACCAACAGCACCATCAAGGCACCTTGGAGCTTTCTTGCCAGAACTGATCTCTTTGATGTGGGAGGACGTGTATTACCACCTTCACCCAAGAAGTCAAAGAGGGACTTCTTTTTAACCTGGTAGGATTTGGACTGGTTTTGCAACAAGACTATTATTAGAGTCACCTATGACAAAAAATAGGGGTTACCTAGATAATGCCAAAGCCAGCATTTGTACTGGGTTTCCTCATATGATCTGTTTGAACCATGTTTTCTTTCCTTCTCCCACTTGCTCACCAGCTTGGGCTTCCATTTTACTTGTTTTACCAACATTTGTATGACCATGTTGAACTTGTTTCTCTCTGATTGTCCTCTTTGGATTTCTGCGTGACAACACCCTTAACTTTCTCTTGACCCTTAGCTGAAATGTTCAGTTAGCTTCTGGTGATACCCTTTCATAATTTTATGTCTCTTGAAAGGGTGATGGCTGTGACATCTCATAGAAATGAGCTTTGAACTGTAGATAGCTCTTAAAGTAAACTTCACTTTAGAGAATTAAAACATTTGTGCTCAGCTGCTTGAACTTTTCTTTTTGTGTACTTACGTGTGTTTAGTTCCATGCAGTTTTATCACATGTATGGATTTGTGTGACCTCCACCACGAGATGCAGAACCATTTCATCACATGGATCCCTTGTGGTTCCCTTTTATAGCCGCAGTCACCTCCTTCTGTAACCCCAAGCCCCAGCCTCTGGCAGCCACTAAGCTGTTCTCCATCTCTCTAATTTTGTCATTTCAAAAATGTTATATAAATGGAATCATACGGTATATATGTAAAACCTTTTGAGATGGACTTTTTTCACTCAGCATAATGCCCTTGAAATTTATCCAAGTTGTTGCATATGTTAGTAGTTTGTGTCACTTTATTGCTTAGTAGTCTTTTGTGGCGTGGGTGTACCATGGTTTCACCAGTCACCTATTGAAGGACATCAGTGTTTTTGTTTTCAGTTTTGGGCCATTACTAATAAAACTGCTGTGAACATTCATGTACAAGTTTTTATGTGAACACAAATTTCATTTCTCTGGGATAAGTGCCCAAAAGAGCAGTTGCTAAGCTGTATGGTAAACAGACGTTTATTTTTGTAAGAAACCGTCCTGCTCTTTATCCAGAGTTACTGTGTCATTTTACGTTCCCACTAGCAATGTCCGACCAATCCAGTTTCTCAACGTCCTCAGCAGTATTTGCTATTATTTTTTTAAAAAGTTTTTTTAGTCATTCTGAGAGGCATGTGGTTTTAATTTGTATTTTCCTATTAGCAAATGGTGTTGAGCATCTTTTCATGTGTTCATTTGCTATCGGTATATCTTCCTCAGTGAAATACCTATTCTTTTGCCCATTTTATGATTAGATTGTGTGTTCTTTTCACTACTGAGGTTTTTTTTGTTTTAATTGAAGTATAGTTGATTTATGCTATTGAGTTTGAGAATCCCTTATATATCCTAGATACAAGTCCTTTGTCAGTTTTGTGGTTGCTTAAATTTTAACATAACTTCTACAGAAGAAAAAACAAGTAAAATTTGCCGAGTATTCTTACATGGTGAGTCACTGGCTTGATTTGATTTATGTTCTTATGTGTTCATGAGGAAATTAAGATATCTGACGTAAACACACCTAGAAGGATCATGAATCGAGTAAATACTTGAAAATATTTGTTGTAAAAGCAAACCGAAGAATCGCTTTGGGACATACGCCTGCCTAAACGCCAATACTAATATGAATAAGAGAAAGTGCGGGCACAGATGACCATGTTCATTGACAGTGACATATAATATCACTTGACATTTTCCCCACTTCTCCCAGTAAAGTGGGTAGGAGTTTGTCCTTTCTGTAATCTCTTTTTTTGTTTTTTAAGTCTTCTGACTCTTACAGAGCTTGTCCCATTGCAGTGACAAGAATTACAGGAGTTAGGGCTGTGCAGCTTGCAGTTAAGAAGCAGCATATTAGAATTAACACTGTTGTGATGACCTGGATAAAGTACCAAGGGGGAAGGGGGCAAATTCTGTCGCTAAAATCTCAGCCTGTCCTGTTAATGTTGCAGCTGCAGTAAACACGAAAGGCTTTTCACCCTCTTGACTCCCCGTATGAATTCTTCTTGGACTTCCCAGATGGCTCAGTGGTGAAGAATACACCTCCTAATGCAGGAGACATGGGTGCTGTCCCTGGGTCAGCGAGATCCCTTGGAGAAGGAAATGGCAACCCACTCCAGTGTTCTTGCCTAGGAAATCCCATGGATAAAGTCTGAGCCTGGTGGGCGACAGTCCGTGGAGTCGCAAAGAGTTGGACACGACTTAGCAACTGAGCACACACTCGGAATTCCTCCTATGTGGCGTGAAAGTGGTTCTTCCATCAGTTTGTGTAACGCTGCCATCTGCTGTTGAAAAATAGGTACTGCTTCTGAGACCCTGACAGCCAAATCTCATCATAAGGGCAACAGTGTTTAGTTTCAGTGAAAGTCGCTCAGCTGTGTCCACTGTTTGCGACCCCATGGAGAATACAGTCCATGGAATTCTCCAGGCCAGAATACCGGAGTGGGTAGCCATTCCCTTCTCCAGGGGTTCTTCCCAACCCAGGGATCGAACCCAGGTCTCCTGCACTGCAGGCGGATTCTTTACCATCTGAGCCATCAGGGACACCCCATAAGAGCAACAGATGTTGAGAGAGTCTGTGGTATTACATATACTAAACAACAGAGGCTATTACGTATTACATATACTAAACAACATCCAGACAGGGGCGAGAATAACCCAACTTGTGAGTTAAGCTCCATCTTCAGACATTTAAAGGTGAAATTCTGTTTCATACCATTAGCCAAACAAGATCCTCTTTTCCATTTCTAACTGGTGCCTTCCCCCTTTTCAGAAGCAATGAAAGCTACTCCGTTGGTTATAGTCTTCTGACAGAGTGTCAAAGAAGATAGGAGAGGAAAATATTTTATTTTGCTAATGTTTTGTTCCCAAACGTGACTGTGAAATTGAAATTCTTTCACATCCTTTCCTTTACTCATGTCAAGACTGCCAAGTTGGACATTTGTGCTTTGGGTTTAAAGTTCATTGATATTACACTTTGATTTTATCTGAAAAGTAAAATTATTTGCTTTTGATAAAAGACTAGTGCAAGAGCAAATCAGCTTTAAAAACAAGGATGTTGTCTGTTTTCCTCTATTTTGGGCTCTGTTGTTCAACACAGTCTTAAATTACTGATCAGAGTGATAGTTTTAAGTAAGCTTTGTTATATCATTGTCATAAGCCCCTGTCATAAGCTGTTTTTGTGTTTATTTAATGGAAAGAGGCATGTGGGATTTATACAGATTCACTTGTAAGTGTTGGATTGGGATTTTTGTGTAAATTTTCTCAAATAAAGGCTAGCAGAAACCATTTTAGCTGTATTTTTCTGTTACTCATGAGTATCTCTTTGGATTGACAATAATTCCTCCACATTCCTCAGTATTAAAAGTATGGCAAGGTATATGTGACAGATTAGAGAAAAAAATATTTGTAATGTACTCCAGATGGATAAAGTTTATGTGAGGTAGCATAAATTCATTATACTTTATTTGTAAATGTATAACTATATAATGTATATATTAAAATATATTAATTTGGAAAGACTAAATAGGGTTCTGTAAGCCAGGAATTCTCTGTAGCTTCTCTGTTTTGGAAACTGCTGTTGAAGTTATTCCTACAGAGTCTTCTCCCTTTCCTTCCATTCTAAAATACCCCTCCTAATTTAGAACCTCTAGGACTTATTTTTTTGGACCATCACATCTATGTAAAACCCTACTCCAGCAGGTAAAGGCAAGATCATCTTTCCTTTTACTTGCAGTTGAGTATTTTCTGTAAAGCTTCTTAAGAGTCAGCGTGAAGTGCTTTACGCATTGACTAGCTAGCCTCCTATTTAGCCTCTTTCTGTAATCCTCAAAAAAAGTTAATAAGTCAGTGAATCTCTAGTTTATAAAGCAGTGGTTCTCAACATTTGAAATACTTTCAAAAATGTCTCATTTCTCCCTAATACTTTAGAGAACATAAATAGTGAAGGCAGCAGAATGTTTAAGTGTGAATTTAAGTGACTTTAAGTTTAATGTTATTTAAATTTAAATGTAATTGTGTCAGCAGTATCTATTCAGTCTGCTACAGTCTCCTATAGCATAAGCCCCATGAATAATATAAATTTTTCTAGTACCACATGTAAAAAGTACAAAGGAACATGAAATTTTTTTATTTTATCATTTTTATTGAAGTATAGTTGATTTGCAGTTGATTTGCCGTGTTGTGTTTTTCTGCTGTACAGCAAGGTGAATCAGTTATACACTTGTATAAATCCACCATTTTTTAGATTCTTTTCCCAAATAGGTCACTACAGTGTACTGAGTTGCCTGTGCTATACACTAGGTTCTTCTTAGTTATCTATTTTATACGTAGTAGTATGCATATGTCAATCCCAATCTCCCAATTTATCCCTCCCCTACTTTACCCCTTAATAACCATAAATTTGTTTTCTGCATCTGTGATTGTTTTGTAAATAGGTTTGCTTGTACCACTTTTTTTAAAGAGTCCACGTATAAGCGATAGCATATTTGTCTTTGACTTACTTCACTTAGTATGACAATCTCTAGGTCCAGCCAAGTCACTGCAAATGACATTATTTTGTTCTTTTGATGGCTGAATTTCCATTGTATATTGTAATATTCCATTGTGGTATATGTCTACCACATTTTCTTTATCCATTCATCTGTTAATGGATATTTAGGTTATTTTCATATCCTGGCTATTATAAATAGTGTGATATTAATTTTAATTATACACTGTCTAATAGATTCAAAATAGAATTTCAACATAAAGTTCAATATAGAAATGTAAAAATGACTGAGATAGCGGACATTCTTTTTTCCTTATAGTCTTTGAAATCTGGTGTGCATTTTACAGCATGTCTTCATTCAGACTAGCCATAATTCAAGTGGTCGCTACTGGTGACCATATTGAACAATGAAGCTATAGACTTTGCTAAGTACTTTGGCAATTTAACTATTCACTTGTTAAGATATAAAATGGAAATACCATTTTTTACCAAAAGTATTTTAAAATCAGTTATACCTTTAAAATGTTGACTATGGGCTTATGAGTATTCAAAAGTCAGGTATTTAGTTTCATTTATATCTGATGTAATGAAGTGCTGAGCTTTATTTAGCTTCTTTAGTTTTGTATTGTCTAAGATGAAAAAGGACATTTGTTAAGCTTTTATCTAGGTATTATAATCAGAATAATTCACAATATCAGGCTAACCAAGTTATAGAAAACTGTTTCCACATTGCAAACTTTTAGTTTCCACACAAAGAAGAGTGAATTTTTAAGCTTTGGCTGAAACCTATTCAGCTTCTCCGAATGCACGTCAACACTTGTAGCTCTAAGCAATTGTTTTTTCCATGCAACTCAAAAATTTATTGGTCATCTGTTTAATGTGCTGAACGAAACTCTGGAGTAGACCCAGGTAAAAAAGAAGCAATACCTGTCCTCAAAGTGCTTTCTAATTCATAGGAGGAAGTAGATGGGATGTCTTCTGTCCAGCATGATTTCCATACTTGTTTTAGCCACCACTGACTTAACATTGTGGATGTTAAGGAAGCTTTCACTAACACAGCTAGTTTGTCTTGGAAAGATGCCCCTCCTAAACACCTTTCTAGAAGATTGTACTTTCCTTATAATAGCACTTAGACACCATTGTAATTGCCTGGTTTTTTGTCTGTTTATATGGACTGTGAGCTCCAGAAGAGGAACCATGTTTATTTTGAGCTCTTTTGTAACCCAGCACCTGGCACAAGTTGGTACTTAGTGTTTGTTGGATGAATAAATTGAAAATTGAAAACTATCTGTACAGCCTAGAACCCTGGAATGAAACCAATAAAAAATTTAACAGGGTGTTATCCGTTGGGCATTTTGGTTTAAGAGATGTACATATGTGATAACAATGACCTGATATTCTTTCAACAAATAAATTTTAGGCTTGTTATATATCAAGCACTTTTCTAGGCACTGATGATACATAGTTGTGAACAAGAAGGCAAAATCCAGACTCCCGTGGAGGTTATGTCCTAATGAATGGAGGTAGTCAAAGTAAACAATAAATAAGACATCAATTTTAAAGATAAACATTGTGAAGAAAATAAGGAGTGATGTGATCTGGTGGGAGAGCTGTGTTACTTTGGATCAAATTGGATGTGAAAAAGAGGTTTGCTTAAATACAAGCACAGTATAAGCAGACCATCATTAAGTCTGGTACAGTAATAGAAAAAATGGATCCAGATCAAGAAGGACAAAAGTCCCTCCTATTCAGACCTATTGTGGAATGTCACGCAGAGTGTAAGATATCATACTTTGAAAGGAACACTGATGAACTCTATAGAGGTCAGAGGAACGTGAGCTCATTAGCTCTAATACCCTTCACCCCATTCTACCCATTCTCTTCCTCCTATGTTTGCTGTCACTATCCAACTACTTAAAAACCTAGATGTGAGTCTCCTGGACTCAGATTTGCTTCACCAACCATATCCCAACTGATCACAAAGTTCTAAATGTTCCTCAGATGGATTTCTTAAATCTTGCCCCCCTGTCCACTCACACTGATAGCACCTGAGTGCCTGTCTCTAGGCCTCCTGTCTTTATCTTCCATGTTGTCATCAGTTCTTTGTAAAGTATAGCTTTGGTCTTATGCAAGGTGATATTATTTATTGTCTGTGCTGGGCACATGAACAAAAGAAGACTCATTAATTATGCTGTGGGGAAGAGTATTAATTGGGACTCCCCCCAGCGAATCAGAACATGCAGACACACAGATCATATACTCCTTTGCTTAAAAATGTCCAATATTTTCCATTGCCCACAGGAAATGTCAAATTCTATATAAATAAATATTTGAGGCCTTGTCTTCTGCTTCTATCCCACAAATACCATGATCTCCATCCACATGATCTTCTCTTAGCCCCCAAATATCCTGCTCTCTGAAAAAGATCCCGGGCCTTGTTGCTGGCTTTGACTCCCAGCTCCCCTCAATAGCTATGTAACATACAGTAGGTTACTTAACCCTCTATCTTAGTTCCTTTTGCAGAATGGGAATACTATGAGGATTAAATGGAATGACACAGAAAGGAAACCTTTAGCATAGTGCCAGGAACATAATAAATATAATTAATGTTAGCTGTTATCTCTGTAGGTCAATAATTCCAACTTTACGACTAAAAAGTTACGTTAGAGATGTAAAGTTGCTCAAGCACACAACTGATGGAACATGCTTTTCCACTGTATTGCAGTTCTCTTAGTGACTTGAGGGCTCTGCAGATTCCCCACCTCCGATTACAGTATCTGGCACTTATGGCATGAAGAATGTTGCATGAGATCATCAGGTGGTCAAAGATTTGGAAATACACTTGGAAGAAGAATGTGAAATCTGGAAAGAGAGGAATGAGCGTCAGGAGAGTTGACTTAAAATACTCTCTAAGATGTGTGGAAGACAGAGGGACCCAGGGTAGTTCTGGAAGAAATAACTGGGCCCACTAACTGAGATGACAGGAGGCAAGAATTTTCCTCGGAGAGGGAAGGGAGGTGAGGTAAACGGGAGACCTAAGAGACAGAGTTCAATCCCTGCGTTTGGGAAGATACCCACTCCAGTATTCTCACCTGGAGAATACCATGGACAGAGGAGCCAGGCGGGCTACAGTACATGGGGTCACAAAGAATTGGACACCACCGCGACTTAGCACGCCCTCAAAGATATCTTTGCTGTAACAATTCTCTAAAACAAAGAGCGCTGTGCCACGCTAGGAAGGGCTGCTTCCCCCAGTCACTGCCCTTGAGATAGGCCTGGCGCCAAGATGAGACTAGACGACCTCTGGACCTCAAAACTGTCTGGGCACCGGGCTAGGAATCAGGGGAGGGGTCTATAGACCCGAGGAGGACGCCCTTGCCCCTGCGGGGGCCATCTGATCCCATTCGGTCTCCACCGGGTGCCGCCAACCCCCGCCCGAGGCCTCGTTTTCCCGGCCCGCCTGGAGGGAAAGAAGTCTTGCCCCCGGGCTTAAAGGAACGACCGGCAGAGGAGGCGGAAACCCCGCCGGGCCGGAAGCACCCAGAACTGCTTCCGGGTCAAGGGGTGAAGAGCCACCATGGAGCCTCGCGGGGTGGTGGGGCTGACGGGGCCGCGGGCCGGCGTCTGAAGCGGGAGAGACGCAGCGCCGCCAGCGCCACCGGGGACACTCAGGCCTGTCCCGTCGCCGCCGCAGCCGCCGCCATGTCGGTGCTGGGCGAGTACGAGCGACACTGCGACTCCCTCAATTCGGACTTCGGGAGCGAGTCCGGGGGTGGCGGGGACTCGGGCCCGGGGCCCAGCGCCGGTCCGGTTCCGCGAGCCGGCGGCGGCACGGCGGAGCAGGAGGAGCTGCACTACATCCCCATCCGTGTGCTGGGCCGCGGCGCCTTCGGGGAGGCCACGCTGTACCGCCGCACCGAGGTAGCGGCCCCGCTCTCCCCTGCCTCGTCCTCGCTCCGCGATCGGGTCCCGCAGGGGTGTCTGTCTTGGGGTCCTCACCGCTCCTGTACTAGGAGTGCATAACAGCACTGGTTTTTCTAACCGGTCGTTTTTGTTTACCATGGTGACGGAGCAAGCCATTAAACCTTCTCTGAGCCTTAGTTTTCTCCTCTGTAAATTGGAGTTAGGAATAGCTATGTACCTTATAAGTAATATTTTTTAAGATTATTTTGAGCATCGAAGGAGGATACTTTGGAGATTGTGAGTTAAAGTAGTATATGAATGGGGAGTATTGTCAAAACTTCCTTCCTTTCATGCCTTAAATCTCTCCAAGGCCGAGGTGGAGAAGTGGGGGCAAACTTCAAAATTCCCACATCCCCGGCAGTTCCACTGTCTTTGCCAAATCTTTAAGCTCAGATATGAACACTCAGTTGGGGATTTTTCTTGAAGGTCATTGGTAAGATTGTAGCGTGTGGGCTTCTTAATCAGTGATGATCCAGCAGTGTTTATACGTGGGAAATACTTTTTTTTTGGTATATTTTAAACCATTCGTTCTTAACTTCAGGAGGGATATAAAGGACTTCTTTGAGAATTTAATGTAAAGGTACCTTCCCGCTTATCCACTGTTCCACACATACAAATCCTTTGAAGAGATTCTTGAATTGCTGGTCCCCAGTTCAGAATGTATACTGATTAAAACCCTAGAGTGGGGAATCTATTTCCAAAATTGATCATAAACTTTGATCACTAAAGTCTTAAAACTGTAGTTTCAGAATAGTTAAGCTTCTGTGGGGTTGCTGGGGTTGCTGAAGATGAGATTCTATCAGTGATCTGTCTGCAGGTCTGGTGTGTGTTCCAAGTACTTTTAAGTCTAAAAGATGGATGAGGAGAGAGGTGGTTGCAAGATTAATGTATTATGAGTTACTGTTAGTATTCTCATGAGAATGAGGAGATGAGCTTTGGTATTCCTATTTTATAGTTGAAGAAACTAAGGTAGTATATTTAAGTGACTCATTCACTTAAATTAGAAGCAAATCCTGGGCTGGAATGGAGGGTCACTTCTACACTTGATCTTAGCCAAAAGGCCGAGAAGCGATGGAGGGTCACTTCTGCTTGTCCATGCCTTTCCATGATTATTGCGTTGAACTTGATTATCAAGGTTGTTTTAAGTTAAGTTTGATTATGCTTTCCCCAAAATTGCATAGCATTATCCATAACATCAAATGTTTATTACTTTTGTGAGTTTACAAGGGTTTAATTAAAGCAAATTTTTCCCTCAAGAAGCATATATTTCAGTGGGAAGACATGTTTGTCTTGTTAGTAACAAACAGCATGTAAGTTGTATGTGTATTTAAGTGTGAAAGAATGGACAAATATTTCAGTGGAAGGGAATTAAGGGATTGCATAGAAGAAGGTTCATTGATCTTCTGCTGAAGTTTCAAAGGCCCAGCACAGCCATTCTAAAGGACAGGGAGGGTTATTTAGGTGGGGATGCTTCTGAGCTGGGGAACATCAGTAAATTAGAGGTGTTATAAAATGGAGTGAATATCAGGAGCTGCAGGTAAGTCTTCATGAATAGAGAAAAATGTGATAACATAAAAATGCAGGAGAAACAGTCACAGAACATGACAGAGTAAGGAAAGTGAACTCAGAGCCCTTAGACATGACTTATTCTTATCTAGAAAGAATAAATGAAAATCACTAGAGAAATCTATATAAAGTTAGAGGCAACTTTAACATGTCTATTTTACAAGAAATGTCAGTCATAGATAACCACTCTCTAGTTCTCTGTTTTTCCAGTAGTCTAACCATACTACAATCCTCATCATTACTGGCAGTCTTTCATAATGTCCCTCAATAGAAACCCTGAGATCTACCTCCATCCCATATTTTTTACCTGGAATTGACATTATGTAAATTAAGTATAGAAACAACATAACATTTTGATGCTTTCCCTAGACCTGCAGTAAATTTTGATGCTCAGTTGTATGCAGAATTTTTAAAGTCTCTTCATGTTTTATTTAAAGGAGAAAAAGGAGTCAGTTTCTGCCCATCTAGGAAGTTTTCTTTCTAGGCTCAGAGATCCCGGTGTGGATTCATTCTCTGCCAGGCTAGAGGAAAGCACAATACCTTTGTTGCTGTGTTGTAGGATGACTCATTGGTCGTGTGGAAGGAAGTTGATTTGACTCGGCTCTCTGAGAAGGAACGTCGTGATGCCTTGAATGAGATTGTTATTCTGGCACTGCTGCAGCATGACAACATTATTGCCTACTACAATCACTTCATGGACAATACCACCCTGCTGATTGAGCTGGAATATTGTAATGGTAAGGTAGAATTCAGTGGGACTTCCTCCAGCAAGACATTCTTGTGCTTATACTTACCTTGAGGGGGAGAGAAAAATAAGATCTATATTTACAAAGAATAAGAACTTTAAGTGGCCTGCTAGAGTTTAAGAGAAATAGTTCAGGCCCTGAAGAGTTTTGAAGTGATCTACAAAATGAGGGGAGGGATTTTCCCCCTGCATACTCAAATTCTGCTTTGTGATGATAATTCCATCTTCAAATTATTTGTTCGGTTGAATTTTACACTCATTTTTCAAGGTTTTTTCCTTATGAAACGACATTAGTCAGGCATTAGAAGCATAGCATAGTTTGACACTTAATAGGGAAATCTTATAGGTGATATTTATTTGTAATGATATCAGCTAAAGCTGTCGTACTGAAAAGTGGTCTAAAGACCATAGCTGACTGAAAATGATTTCTTTGAACCCTTCTGCTTGTTTAAAAAAAAAAGCAGTATAGCCTATTTGTTAAAAAATAGACCCTGAACCCATATCCTAAGCTTCAGTACTTTTTAATCTCTATAATCTTGCACGGACTACTTAACTTCTCTGTGTCTCAGCCTCCTCATCTTAAGTAAATTTGCTAATAAGCAGTAGTTATCTCCTAGGGTTATTGTATTAAATGAATATGTAAAGCTCCAGCAACTTTTAACATTTCTAATTTAAGGGAAAGTATACTATTTTACTGTAGTTCTTGATATGTAGCAAATTTCTGATAAATTTTTTACTAGCTGTTATCATTATTACCTAAGAGAACACCCAAATCCCATTCTTGAGCTGCATGCTAAAATGGTCCAGGCATATTCTTCATTTAAATCTCTAAGAGATAGCTCCTAGATTTGTCATTTATTTACTAGATTCTTGTGTATCCCGATTGTGTTCAACCCTAAATGTATGAGATTATGTTAGAGATTTTTGAAGTAGCAGAAGCCTCTTAACTTCCTTTGTGGTTAGGAGGAACTAGAACGGATGGTACATTTATTGAAACTTTTGAGTTACTAAATTGCAGAGGGGAAGAAGTTGTGAAACTTAACTAGGACTACAGTAAGTTATAGCTGCGGATAGGAAATAAAGCAAACCATCATCATTTGCCATCTGTTACCTGATAATAAAAAGGAGAAGCAAATTCAGACTTACTCTGAAGGAATGGGTTAGTAAAGGAGTAATAATTGGAAGCAATCTAGAGTCTACCCTAAATTTGGGGAAACCTTTTCAGTGTGAAGTGGAAAGAAAAAGAAGTTGATGGTGATATATACCTATTTTTGTAAAACATCACCTCACAGGTATAACTCAAATCTTCTAATAGACTGAGGAAGTTGTTACCAAATATTGCAGATTCCTTTAATAGGAGTTTTGAAAAAGAAAGTCATCCGATTTTGAAGACTTTCAAAGTAATTTCATGAATTAGGGTACTAGAGAAATGGTCTTTACTTTTATCTTTTCTAAAAATGTTGTACTTCCCATTTTCATACCGAGTCTCTTCTATTAGGGAGGGGAATCTTTGGACAATATTTCAGATATAGTCCTTGACAGATGGGAAGTTTTTTACCCATGTGAAGAGCTTGAAGGAAGAGGGGGTATCTTTTCAAATGAAGCAGAGCGAGGTGGCTTGGTGGTAAAGAATCCGCCTGCCAGTGCAGGAGATGTGGGTTTGATCTCTGGGTAGGGAAGATCCCCTGGAGAAAGAAATCCAACCCACTCCAGTATTCTTGCCTGGAGAAGTCCATGAACAGAGGAGCCTGGCAGGATACAGTCCATGGGGTCTCAGAGTCAGACATGACTGAGCACATATGCACTCATGCAGAATCTTTCACTTGCTATGCCACCTGTTAAAATCCTAGTAGCTTTGATCTCTGTTAAGCAGCTCAAACCTGTTTCTTATTTAATTGCAGGAGGGAACCTGTATGATAAAATCCTTCGTCAGAAGGACAAGTTGTTTGAGGAAGAGGTAATTCATATTTCTGTGAAAGGAAGCTAGAATTGTATTGTGATTCTTGCATTCTAGTTCTATATTTACTCTTCCAACAATGAAGAGTGTTTTTTTCCTTTTGTTCATACTCCTTCCAGGCTCTGATTGATATTCATGAGAAAGGAAACCTCTAACAAGGAAGCTGTCTATAGCTGCTTCCTAAACGGTTTACCTCCACATCATGATTCTCTATGGGCTTTCTTTCCCGGTTCTATTACTGCATACTGGTATGCCCAGTTTTCTCTACCTTTGCGTTCTTCCTGGATTTCTTTCCACAAGTCTGCTTCACCATACTATATTTTATAACAACATTTGAACTATTTTATGATAATCTGCTTTTTTTTTTTACCCCTACCACTTTTCTTTGCCTATTCAACCTACAAGCAAGAAATGTCAAGTCATGTTGAATCATAACCGCTAGTTGCAGTTTTCTTTGTTGAGTGTGTGTGTGTGTGTGTATTTATTTAAATGGTATTTTTTTGTTTGTTTCCAGTCCAAGTATAATTTATTTTTTCTCTGCAGATGGTGGTATGGTACCTATTTCAGATTGTTTCAGCCGTGAGCTGTATCCATAAAGCTGGGATCCTTCATAGGTAAAGAGTGAAAGAATATGGGATAGATTCCTTTCCACCAATCCAGCCCCCACCTTGAGTACCTCCCATCAGCACTATTATTTTCTTGATTAAACAGTCAAGGCTTTTCCGTTGATAATGATTTAGGAAGGAGAGTGAGTAATGAGGGGCATTATCGTCACTTCCTGAAGTTAAACTGTTTGTGATCTAGGAAGAGTCTCCTCAGTAGCTTAGTACTGCTCAGTCATCTCTTTATTTTAGAGGTGAGTTCATTAATTCATCAGTACAGCCTAGAAGGCCACTATAAAAGTCATATTAGACTGATTGGAATTCACAGTAAATGTTTTCTCTGAGCAATAAAATTGGCGTTTGTTTTTAATTTAAGTAAAAAGCTTATTCATTGTTTTACAATTAATTATGCAGTTTTACCAGATCTTGACCAGGGGGAAACAGCTTTCTATTCACTTCTGGCTATAGGAGAGAACCTTTATTCAGCACAACCATCAACATTGCTGTTCAAGAAATTTACAGTTTACGTCCATTCCAAGTTGTAAATGCTAGTCTTCCCCCCCCCCCCCAAATAAAAAGACCATTAACTTAAAAAAACAAGAACATTTCCACTTCACTATACCCTTAAATGAGTCATGGACTACTGCTAGAGATTAATATTAATACACTCGTTTTTTTTTTTTTTTTGGTTTGTCTATTTAACATATTTCTTGATAGTTGTTGAGTAGCTACGGTTGTGTATTGTTTTATTTTTGAAAATTATCAAAAATATTGTTCTGATTTTTTTACATCTTTCAATAAAGGGAGGCACAGGGTGAACCAGGCACAGTTTATTTGTGTTACAAATGGTCAGTTCATCTTTAGAAAGATAGCTGGTGATTTTATTTAGGTGATCTGTATGGCCTAATCATTTTGCTGCTGGGATGTGCTTCTCTTGCCTTAACAGATTTGAAACTTTGACACAACTCAGTGTTAAAATTGCCTGAATATCACTTAATTCAAGGCACCAGTGGTAATTGAAGAGGCAGTACACCTTATAGGAATTAGCTAGGGTCCTTTTTTTTTTAAATCTGACCTTTCAACTTTTCCTAATGACTTCAGTGTTTGGGGGATGTGCCTATGCTGTGAATCCCTGGAGAATGAAGTAATTCTCTGCCTCTACTCCCCCAAGTTCCCTTCTCAGTGTTAAAATGTATGAGAAAGTAATGAACACTCTTTTGGATCCCATAACAGTCTGAACAGTGGTAACACACTCTTTGATTTTGTACTAATTTGGGGCGAGAAGGTAGATGAGATAAAACAGTTGAGTGTATGGGTTTAATGTACAGCATTTTTTCTCCAGGGATATAAAGACATTAAATATTTTTCTGACCAAGGCAAACCTGATAAAACTTGGAGATTATGGCCTAGCAAAGAAACTGAATTCTGAGTATTCCATGGCTGAGACGGTAAGTATGTGTTATCATTGACTTAGTTGGGCTTTTTTTATTTTTTATTTTTTGTAATTTGGTGGTGCCACACAGCATGAGGGGCCTTAAGTGAGGTCCTGATAACCACTGGACCACCAGGGAATTCCCCCTTGACTTTTTTTTTTCTTTTCCTTTCATGGACCTTGAGATATAACTGTACCCCCTAAATCTTGCATGCTTTTTCTCAGTGTTTTTGCAAGTTCTTCATACTTACAAAGCAAGTCTTTTATAAGTCATACTTTAAAAAGGAGTCTTTTCCCTAGACCCACTACCAGGTATTTATATGCTCGCGTGTTTTTTAAGAGCCATTGTCCACATAACAGCTCAGACATTATTGCCCTTTCCAACCCTGACTAAAGACTTTTCTAAAAGCAATAAAATGCTTTACCATCTTTTCCAGCTTAGGATCTTCAGTAGATCTCACTTTGTCTCTCATTTAATGTTTTCAGTTTCGAATGTTAGACGTCTCTCGTGTTTCCTGGTTCAGAAACCCTATATTACAAATAAAGGCTGATGCCCAGAAAACAGTCTCATCCTTAATATGATACACAGTCTGCACCACAGGGCTCCCTTCTCACCTGATCCTATGAAGGAGCATTGGTAAAGAGGAGACATAAATTGATCTCTGACGATAGTGATCTGATCCTTTTAGGACTTATAAAACCCAATTATTACTCTTCTGGTTTCACAGTGCTCTGTCTTTAGAAGACCTTGAAAATGTAAGTTACTAAAATTAATTTTGTCCTGATGTTTTTTTTTTTTAATAATATTGAGATATCCCTGCAAGCAATCTAGAAACATCCAAGGCTACTGATAGCCAGGGTTGGGAGTCTGCTTCAGAGACAGTCTGCTTGTATGATGTTGCTTTATTGAGTTTCTGAGAAAGTAGTCATGCCCTTGCATGGATTTTTCTCATCAAGAATAATACAGTACAATAAATGCCAAGTAAGCCGTCTGAAAAATTGCTTTGCTTTGCTCATTAAAGATGGCTATCAGTGTTGTTAGAATTTCTTGGGTACTCATTGTCTCTCATCTTGGGAGAGGCATGACCTCCATTCAGGAGATTTTCCTTCCAGCACATTCTTGAACTCAGAAGATCTTTTTGAATTTGGAAGAAATTCACCATGTTAGTATTGCAGATGTTGAGTTGTTTACAGAGTTTCACTACTGTGTGTTTCAGTTAGAACTTTTAAACCCCTTTATTCAATTACCATCTCCCACTACTGTTTTTTTTTTCCCCCCCATTGGTGAACTTTTACCAAGAATGCTTTTTCCAAGTCTGTGAAGTCTTCAGTGGTCTTTGAATGCCTAAATCTTCTGTGATCCAGGAATCACAGAGCTGTTCTGCCTCCCAAGTTACCACAGGTCTTCACCACAGAGATTGTCTCTTTGTAACTGGCCCAGGACATTTGATATGAATGAGTTTCTCCCCAGAGTGGCATCAGCTCAGAATGATAATGGGATATGCTGTTTGATGGGAATGTTTTGGGATATGCTGATGAATGTTCTATAGTTATCACTAACTCCTGGAAAATTTAGTTGTTAAAATATTAATATAGTTAGCTCAGAAAAGAAGTTAATTTTTGATTGCTTTCTTTGTTGTTCAGCTTGTGGGAACTCCTTATTATATGTCTCCAGAGCTCTGCCAAGGAGTAAAATACAATTTCAAGTCTGATATCTGGGCAGTAGGCTGTGTCATTTTTGAATTACTTACACTGAAGAGAACATTTGACGCTACAGTAAGTTGATGTATTATCCCTTCGTTGTCCTTGCAAATGGTCCAACTTGGTTGAGAGAATCAACTTCATTTATCCCTGAGCTTCTGACTTCTTGAACAGAAATCAACTGTAGGCAAAATAATAACCAGTGTTTAGGCACTGGCTTAGTAGTGTAAAGTACTACAGATAAGATTTATTTCCAACTTGAATTCCCCATTGAAAAATAATCATAATCAAGTAGTTTGAGCATGGTCCTTGAATCCATTGACTATAATTTTAAAACTAACTGTAGGATCGACTGTGTGATGCAATGGTTTGGGTAAGCCATTTCATTTCTTATGCTTCAGCTACATCTTTTTATAAAAGCTAAGGCAAATTATATAATACTCATTAAAGTGTCTTGATCTTTTTTGTGAAAGATTACACACTGACTCTTAGTTTTACTAAAAACTTACTGTTTTATAAACAACAAATACCTTTAAGTCTCTCTTCTTCTTAAAGTAAAGCCTAGTGTTAAGTAGTGCTTCTCAAGCTTTAATATACATAGCAAATCACCTGGGCATCTTGTTAAAATGCAGACTCTATTTTAGTGTGTCTAGATCTAGTCCTGGTATTCTGCATTTCTGACAAACTCCCAGATGATTCTGATGCTCGTTCATGGACCACAATTTGAGTAGCACAAGTGGATTCACATCCAATATCCTCTACAAACCAGATGTGAGAACTTAGGCAAATCACCACATCTCTTTGATTCTCTATTTTGTCAATAACAAGGGAAAAGATACATATTCACCTTATAGAGCTGCTCTTCTAATGTATATGAAAATGCAAATGTAAGATAATGTAAAGTTCTTTGGCCTTTTATGAGACCTGTTTATTTTTCTAAGTCCTGAAGTTTATTTTCTTAAGTAATATAGTGGAAGGAAAATGAGTTTTGGAGTCAAACAGACTTTGGTTGGAATTATGGCTCCATTTTTTTTTACTGTTTGTATAGTCTTGGGCAGGTTACTTTACATCTCTGAATTGGTGATGATAACCTTGTGTGGTGTTTACAAGAGTTAAAAAACTATGTGCAACTTATGTTACATAGTGATCTCTTAGTAAAGGTGGTGGTGGCATTGTTATAATAATTTCTTATCACTATCAACTTATTATTCATTGCCTTGTCTTTTACAGCAGAGTATCACCTGACCATTTTTAGGATATATAAATCAGGAGGCAAATTAGTTAGCAAAGGAGATACTTAAAGTCAAGAAGCATAGCTAACTTTGCTTTCCTTTTTCTTGGGAGTCAGTTGAGGGGTCAGATTATAATATACTCTTGAGTATTATTCTGTTGGTCACGTAGTCATACCTCCGTGTTGGCCAGTTGGTTTCATTCTCTCTGATCGTAGTAGTGCATCTCCAGCCATTTCTTAGTGAAGTATACTAATAGTTGTAAAAAGAAGTCAGACCTAACTTACAGCTATTGCCGTTTCTTTATATGATAATCACAGATATCTCAAAGCCCCTACTGGTAGATTGTAATGCCATCTTTATATAACCAAGGACAATACAATAATCATTTTCTCATAGAATCCACTCAACTTGTGTGTGAAGATTGTACAAGGCATCCGGGCCATGGAAGTTGATTCCAGCCAGTACTCTTTGGAACTGATTCAAATGGTCCATGCATGCCTTGACCAGGTAAGTGTAATTTGCATATTGATTTCAGTTCAGTGTTTTCCCTTCCAGCCTTCGTGTCTGGAGTATGGCACAGAGGAACTTGCACAAAACCATGTCCACATCCCCAGGGTAGGATGTATTTGTGGCTGTATTCAGGTGAATGAAAAGTGAAAGTGTCAGTCCTGTCTGCCTCTTTGCGACCACATGGACTGTAGCCCACCAGGCTCCTCTGTCCATGGAATTCTGCACACAAGAATACTGGAGCAGGTAGCCATTCCCTTTTCCAGAGGATCTTCCCAACCCAGGGACCGAACCCGGGTCTCTTGCATTGCAGGCAGATTCTTTACCGTCTGAGCCACCAAGGAGGTCCATTCAGGTGAATTAGCAACTCATGCGAGTAGTGTGCTTCAGCCAACAGATCTCCCTTTATTAGTTTGTGAAATTGTGCTCCATTTTTTATAATCAAGATTAATTTTTATAAACTGTATAAAATAAGAGGTATTTAGAATTCCTGATGTACAGAATGTATATAGTTCTAAATGTCACAGTTGCCTTGCTGTGTAGCTCTAGGTCAGTATTATTCAGAGGTAGTCCAGGAACCACAGGCGTGAGAATCCCCAGGGGGTGGGCAAGTTTTACAAGAAGAAAATGAAGATTCCTGGGCCCTACCCCAGACCTCCTGGATCAGAATTTCTGTGAATAAAGCCCAGAAATCTTTATTTGTAACAGGTACTCCAGGAGATTCTTACGTTCTATATATACTGAAATGTGAGAATCACTACCCTAACAGTTAAAACCAGTGAGGAAGGTGCATTTCTCATTCTCACATAGAAGTGCTGATGGTAATGAGCATGAAGCATAGAATGTGACATAATAGTTTTTTAAAATAAAAAGTTTGATATATAGTGGTCTCTGAATAGCAAACCTACAGCCTTCTGAGAGGAAGTAAAATGCCTCTTTAGATCCCATTTTGCCCATTTCCTTTAAGTTAAAACTAACCCATTGGTACTTTTTAGGATCCAGAGCAGAGACCCACTGCAGATGAACTTCTAGATCGACCCCTTCTCAGGAAACGCAGAAGGTAAAGAACAAAGAAGTCGCTTCATTGTCTTTCTGTAGATGGGCAACTGACTATATAGGCCTGACCAGAGTACCGCAGAGAGAGGGTGGTGTTTCCTGACGTGGCCACTCTGGTGCTGTTTTCTTCCAGCATCTCTGTTTTCATTGCTCGACTTCGACCTCCCTCACCCCTGCTAGTTTGTTCTGAATCGATCCTGATGAGGCTTTAGACCCCCCATCTTCTGTGAGTTCTCTAGAGTTTGGGCACGAGAGTGTAGTAATTAAGAGAGGAGGGCTCTGGACTCAGTCACCCTTACATTGGTATCTGAGTTCTGTCACTGTCTTTGTCAAGTTATTTAACATCTCTGACCCTTAGTTTTCTTCTCTATGAAGTGAGGTCGGCTGAGGATTGAAGGAGGCAATGCATATAAAGTGCTCAGCCCAAGGCCTGGCACAAGGTGCTCAGCAGTTGTTGGATAGGAGTGCGGGATTGGACTGGGCCATTGCTTTTTAGTGCATTTGTTTAGATTTTAGGTTGTAATTGGAGGGGTCCTCTTCAGATACCTTTTGCCCATTTCCCATAGTCGAGTTTGATTGATTCCTGACAGGTTATTTTCTGAGATTTGTTCAGTGTTACAGGTCTCTAGAGGTGGAAGGAAGGCCCTTTATCCCTCACTTTTTGTAGGAGGCTTCAAACCCTAGCTCACAGGAAAAGATGTTCTTTATCCTTCTTAAATGTCCTAGTCTCTGTTTCATCCTCTTACACTATTTTACCCTTCCTTCTTCTGCCAGTTCTTTTGAATCTTCCCAACATTCAAACCTGTACTGTGTTCCTTTTCAAGTCTTACACTTGGATGCATTAAGTGTATACCTAATTCCGTAATCTCTGTTCTTTGGTCAGTATCTTTATTCTGTTGTATTAAATTAATCTTTTCTGGTTTTCCAGTTGATCTCTAGCCAGTGTTTTAGTGCCTAGAATTACGTATAACACTCCAGATGCAGCACTGTAACCTTTCATTTATGTTCTATTCATATTCAGGCAGTCACTCTTTAGGGCTCGGTAGGCATATTTAAATTCTTTATCTGGCTTATTTTCTAACAGTATAATCACTGTTTAAATCTCTTATTTAAATATTTCCATTGATAATTTTTAATTGCAATTTTTATTGAGATAATTGGAGATTTACATATAGTACTTCCTTAGCACTTTGTTCTTTGATGGAAAAACATAAGACAGAGCTTTCCAGGTAAATCACAGACACAGAATTGTGAAAATATTCAGGAAGCACTAAGTCCTATTTGGCTACACTAGGGGTTTTAGACCTGGCATTCTCAATAGCAACACCACTAGAACTTTAAAAAATTACTGGTGCTTAAGCACCGCCCCAGGTCTTCAGCTATAATTGGTTTAGGCAGAATGGGAACCCTGAGCTGAAATATGGGAATTGATGGAAGGAACCCTGGAAAAGTAGGTAGAGAATCTTGAATGCCAGATGAAGGAATTTGTGCTGTATTCAGGGAATTGTATGAAAGTGTTGGATATTTGAGAGGGCAGTTCATGTGATAAGAGATGGAACCTTAGAAAAAGTTATTTAGCAATATTAATATCAGTGTTAAGTCAGTGCAGGACTGAATAAAGTGTGTTGAAACTTTGGTGAGACCAATTAGGTGCTACTACAGCCTAGTTAGACAGTTGTATGGATGTGAGAGTTGGACCAAAAAGAAGCTAAGCGCTGAAGAATTGCTGCTTTTGAACTGTGGCGTTGGAGAAGATTCTTGAGAGTCCCTTGGACTGCAAGGAGATCCAACCAGTCAATCTTAAAGGAAATCAGTCCTGAATATTCATTAGAAGGACTGATGCTGAAGCTGAAGTTCCAATACTTTGGCCACCTGATGTGAAGAACTAACTCATTGGAAAAGACCCTGATGCTGGGGTTGAAGGATTGAAGGCAGGAGGAGAAAGGGACGACAGAGGGTGACATGGTTTGGATGGCCTCACTGACTCGATGGACATGGGTTTAAGCAAGCTCCAGGAGTTGCTGATGGACAGGGAACCCCGTCCATGGGGTTGCAAAGAGCTGGACAGGACTGAACGACTGAACTGAACTGAACTGAACAGCCTAGTTGGGAAGTAAAGCTGCCCAGAGCTAAGGTGGTGAGACTGGGAAGGACAGGTGAGGATAAAAGGCATTGTACAAGTAGAATCTATAGAATTTGAATATTGAAGAAAAGACAGCTGAATCCAGAATCGCTGAAGTTTTAAGCCTAACTCACTGGGAGGATTGAAGGTGCCACTTACAGAATCAGGAGTGTCAGAAAGAAAAGCTGTATGGGGAGAAAGATGGTGAGCTGAGCTTTAGAGATGTTGAGTTTTGGGAGTCACTGGGCAAACTCGATGGAGATGTTAGCAGGTTCCTAAAATGTGCATCAGAAGGAAGTTCTCGAGGCTCTCTGGTCCAGCCTAGAACATTCCTCAGAGATAGAAAACAAATGACCCGAGACTGCTGGCCTCATTGTGGTTAATGAATTGTCTAATGCTAGGCATATGTAAATGTTTGAGTTACATCGAAGTACTTTGCTAAAAGTGTTATAGCATCATATGAGGCATGTGGTTTACAGAAGATTAAGTCTGTGAAAGGTTTTAAAGAGATACTGGTGCAATATAGAACTATTATTTCTCTCATGTGTCTTTGCTTTTCTTTTGGTAGAGAGATGGAGGAAAAAGTCACACTGCTTAATGCACCTACAAAGAGACCAAGGTAATGCTCAGGAGACTCTTGAAAAAAGTAATATATCTTAAATTACCACCAGGGGGTCTTTCTTTCTTGGGTCTGGACATATTTTGATCCCAGTAAGAAGCCTTTGGCATCCTTTCAGAAGCCCAGCATCCATTTAAATATCAAATAGTCATTTCAGAGAAAAAGAAAGCTGTAGTTTCACCCTCTTGCCAAAGTGGACATCATTATGATGAATGTTGAAAAGCTGAAAAGTGTAGGTGTTATGGATCAGACTGGTATCTGATCTGGCTGGGCTGTGATGAAGCCCTGAGGCAAGAATTGCAAAGCCTGCCATGATAGAGGGTTGGAGTAAGTTGTCAAGAAAGAACATACTTTCTCATACCATAATTGGCAGTTCTACTCAGGGAACAGACTGAAAGCATTTTTCTTTGATACCATTTTTATGTTAAATGTGCCTTTGTTCTGGGGGTTGTTGGCAGGTCAAGCACTGTGACTGAAGCACCCATTGCTGTGGTAACATCCCGAACAAGTGAAGTCTATGTCTGGGGTGGTGGGAAATCCACTCCCCAGAAACTGGATGTCATCAAGAGTGGCTGTAGTGCCCGGCAGGTGTGTGCAGGGAATACCCACTTTGCTGTGGTCACAGTGGAGAAGGAGCTATACACTTGGGTGGTAAGTGAAAGCTGCATACTTTAGACCAGTGGCGTGCACCTCACTGGGCCCAGGGGGTATAAGAGCTCTGTTGGCTGAGTATGTGCTGCAGAAATGGCAGCATGAGATGATGGAGTGTAAGCTCTTGAGAGGAGGGGTTTTCCTGTTTAGTTCACTGATGTGTCCCAAGTGCCTGGTACTTGTTAGGTCGCTTTTAAGTGTTTTTTGAATGAATGAATGAAAGAGAGAGCGAGAGAAGGAGAGAAAGAATTAAAAGGCTCGGACTCAGGAGACTGGATTCTCATTTACAGATGGGTGACTTCAGAAAGTCACTTGTTTACTCTGTTCTATTACCATGCATTTCAGAGCAACTTACATCTGTGAAGTCGCTCTGTAAACAAATGAAGTAGTATACTATGTCAGGAAAATTCTAAGACCTCCATCAGTGATTGAAGATGGTATATCTTGAGTAGAATTTTTCTTTGTTCCCCTCTAGATCCTACCTTCTCTCTCACCTTGAACATACTGCATATTTTTGCTGTCTCTTCTTATCTCCCACTCATTCCTCATTCACCTGCCAGTCAACTGAAACTACTCTTGACAAAATGACCTCTAAATTATGAAAACAAAACGGATAGGTGCCCTTGAGTCCTTGCTTGACCTCTAGTATTAACATATTGGTCACTTTTCCTTCTTGCAGGAAGCCTTGTCCTCCCTTGGTTTCCACGGGATCATGTTCTCTTGGCTTTCCTCCTGTCTCTTCAGCTGTGCCTTCTTAGGCTCACTTCATGCTGCTTTTTCATTCCCCAGCCTGTCTGAGAACCTCAGTTCTTCCCACTCTTCCTCCTTCTGGAGGGAGCTCATTTTTTCCAGTAGTTTCAGATAAGTTCTCCAAGAAGACGGGCTTTATCCCCAGCGTGTGACAGAGTAGACACTCAACTATTGTAGAAAGAATGAGTGATTTGACCTCTGTTACAGAGTTTTAACTTGCTGTTATTTCCAAAAATCCTCTCACTTGAAGAACTAGCTTCTGGGAGTACTTCTAGAGGTAGAGTGAAATTAGTGCCTTAAAAAACATTTGTAGAAGGCCTTACAGTTGAGCTATTAAATGGGAAGAATGACTCACCTCTCTAAAACTGCTGGGAAGTCATTTAGGACTATGGTCAGTACCTTCTAGCAGCCTCTTTGATGTAGCCAGATTCCTTATGACTTGCATATTTCAGGGAGTGAAAGATGCTGTCGTGTCCAACTCTTTGCGACTCCATGGACTATACAGTCCATAGAATTCTCCAGGCCAGAATACTGGAGTGGGTAGTTTTTCCCTTCTCCAAAGGATCTTCCCAACCCAGGGATCAAACCCAGGTCTCCCACATTGCAGGCAGATTCTTTACCAGCTGAGCAACAAGAGAAACCCTCCTGTGACTAAAATTTATAAAACTTTTGTAAGGATTTCCAAGAGTCTGTCCTCCTATAGAAAAAAATCAAGCTAAACTATATAAAGACATTGTTTTCATCATCACCCATAATTAGTTTACCTTAGACTTGAAGGAAAAAGACAGAATTGGGAATGTGTCCTTTTAAGTCCTGATAAGATATTTTAAAAATCTTTATCTGTTGGCAGGGGACTTTTACTATCTGTCATTAAAAGAGTTAATGCCCTTACCTTTTTGTTTTGTTTTTGTTTCTTAATTATCAGCTAATTTTTTTCCTACTGTTTTTCTTAATAAGAAGTGATGTTAAAGATTGATTTACTTTCGCAAGAAAAGTTTAAGACTTCACAAGACCTGTTTATTTCACAGAACATGCAAGGGGGTACTAAACTCCATGGTCAGCTGGGCCATGGCGACAAAGCCTCCTACCGACAGCCAAAGCACGTAGAAAAGTTGCAAGGCAAAGCTATCCGTCAGGTGTCATGTGGTGATGATTTCACTGTCTGTGTAACAGGTAAGCCAGCAGCAGAAAGCACCCAGGTGCATCTCAGGTGGAGTGTTGTACTTAATTTTACGCAGTTTTAGCTGGGATTTTACACAAAAGACAAGATTCCGAAGAACCAAAGGCAGTGAGCAAATATACACTTTAATAGCAACATGCCCAACTTGATATAGCATTATGGGAGTGATGAGCAAGGAGAAAGCAGGTGGGTAACAGAAGAGGTGGGATTAGGAGAACTATATTGTCTGTCCCATTTTGGGGGGGCTGGGGAGGAATAACCTCACTACCTAGTCAGGTGTAGATAATACTAAATCAGGAATCAGGAGCTAAAATTTAGTTTTGGTCTTACCATTACTCACTTTATGATTGCTTGGTACTTCCTTTCTTTTCTGTAAAATAGAAATGGCCCGGCAAAATTTTAAGCCTTTTTAACACGATCATCCCACCATTTTTAAAAAAAAACTGTTACATAACAGTATGCATGACCCTCTAAATACAAAGAACTCTAGGCTTCGTAGACAGTCTGTCAGATTTCTCTGCTGCAGTCATCTGATATGAGCTCATTGGCTGAGATCATCCTCGTTCCAGTCCTGTCCAGCTTTCTCATTAGACAAAACAAGTAATTGATTTGGTGGGTTCTGCTTTCCTTCTTCTCACAGACGAGGGTCAGCTCTATGCCTTTGGATCTGACTATTATGGCTGCATGGGAGTGGACAAGGTTGCTGGCCCTGAAGTCTTAGAACCCATGCAGCTGGACTTCTTCCTGAGCAATCCAGTGGAGCAGGTCTCCTGTGGAGATAATCATGTGGTGGTTCTGACACGAAACAAAGACGTCTACTCTTGGGGCTGTGGTGAATATGGTAGGTGCTGCCTTGACTCTCCGCTTATTCCCAGGGGCACGGCCTGACTTCAAGCTTGTGCACCTCTAAACCTGTCATGCAGCCTCTATTTAAGTGTTAATTTAGTAAAAGAGAATCTTACAGAACATTTTCATTGGGATGGGAGCCCTCACATTAATGATTTTCTTTCTCATGTGTGTCTCAGGACGACTGGGTTTGGATTCGGAAGAGGATTACTACACACCACAAAAGGTAAAATCAGAGGCAGCTTCTTCTTAGAGCCTGTCTGGGTCACACAGCGTCTAGTAATAAGTCCTCCTTCCCTGCCGCCTCCTATCAAGGTGTTTATTTCTGAAATATTCCCTATCTGGGAGATTGACAATCCAGGATTCCTAATTTAGCACTCTGTGGTCTTGTCGTCTGACTAAACCATGCAAAGTTGAGAAATGATGTAGCCACTGTGGACACTCTGGAGTCACGGCTTGCTCATCAGTCAGCACTGAAATCAGCATGTACAGTGAAAAAGTCACATCAAGTTAAACACACCCTGTGTGGGAAGATGCTGGAACGCAATATGCTCTCCTTTCACCTGGCACAGCCATTTCCCTTCTTCCTTCTACAACTGCACACCAGATGAAGTAGTTGTTTGTATTTAGGGGTCATATTGTATGAAGCATAATACCTAATTCTTCAGCACTGTGGAAGCTGGCTCTGTCAGAGCTGGCGTGGGAGCGGAAACCAGCTGAGGGAGAGCATGGTCACGTTCCCACCCTAGGACACAGCCTCGCCCCCTGGAAGGTTGACTGTAATCAGCTATACCTTTCACTATGAATGATGTTTATTTACATTTTAAAAATTAACTAATATATCTGGGGGACCATTCTCACTGAGTAGAATTCATAGCTATTCCTCTTCACCTGAAAAGGCTATAGTATTGTTAGAAGGTTTGAGTTTTCAGGTTTCATAGGTACACCCATCATGTCCCCCACCATTCTCAAGCCCTGTCTAGTTAGCTACAGTGGGATATGAGCCTTCAGACATCTTGGCTGCTGCCTCAATCCTTGGTCACCTCACTTATTGTATGACTGGGACTCCACAGGGCTGAGTTCTTCTGTAACCATCATGAGGTGTTGTATCTCAGAGGACTAAATCAGTAATAGATTGAAGCTTCTCCTTCCCCAGTGTTTTCTGAGAAGTGTTCCTAAGTAGTAACTAAGTACCTGTTGCTAAAACTTTGACAGGAACTATCTGTTTAGTCGACCTGCAGTTGCCTCTTTATTATAAAACTTAAGCTCCTTATTGAAAACAGTAGCCTCTAAATTCAGTTCAGTTCAGTTCAGTTCCTCAGTCATTTCCAACTCTTTGCAACCCCATGAACCGCAGCACGCCAGGCCTCCCTGTCCATCACCAACTCCCAGAGTTGACTCAAACTCATGTCTATTGAGTCGGTGATGCCATCCAGCCATCTCATCCTCTGTCGTCCCCTTCCCCTCCTCCCCCCAATCCCTCCCAGCATCAGGGTCTTTTCCAGTGAGTCAGCCCATCACATCAGGTGGCCAAAGTATTGGAGTTTCAGCTTCAACATTAGTCCTTCCAATGAACACCCGGGACTGATCTCCTTTAGGATGGGCAGGTTGGATCTCCTTGCAGTCCAAGGGACTCTCAAGAGTCTTCTCCAACACCACAGTTCAAATGCATCAATTCTTTGGCACTCAGCTTTCTTCACAGTCCAATTCTCATATCCATACACGACCACTGGAAAAACCATAGCCTTGACTAGACAGACCTTTGTTGACAAAGTAATGACTCTGCTTTTTAACATGCTATCTAGGTTGGTCATAACTTTCCTTCCAAGGAGTAAGCCTCTTTTAATTTCATCGCTGCAGTCACCACCTGCAGTGATTTTGGAGCCCAAAAAAATAAAGTCAGTCACTGTTTCCATTGTTTCCCCATCTATTTGCCATGAAGTGATGGGGCCAGATGCCATGATCTTAGTTTTCTGAATGTTGAGTTTTAAGCCAACTTTTTCACTCTCCTCTTTCACTTTCATCAAGAAGCTCTTTACTTCTTCTTCACTTTCTGCCATAAGGGTGGTGTCATCTGCATATCTGAGGTTATTGATACTTCTCCCGGCAGTCTTGATTCCAGCTTGTGCTTTCTCCAGCCCAGCGTTTCTCATGATGTACTCTGCATTTAAGTTAAATAAGCAGCGTGACAATATACAGCCTTGACGTACTCCTTTTCCTATTTGGAACCAGTCTGTTGTTCCATGTCCAGTTCTAACTGTTGCTTCCTGACCTCCATACGGGTTTCTCAAAAGGTAGGTCAGGTGGTCTGGTATTCCCATCTCTTTCAGAATTTTCCACAGTTTATTGTGATCCACACAGTCAAAGGCTTTGGCATAGTCAGTAAAGCAGAAATAGATGTTTTTCTGGAATTCTCTTGCTTTTTCGATGATCCAGCGGATGTTGGCAGTTTGATCTCTGGTTCCTCTGCCTTTTCTAAAACCACCTTGAACATCTGGAAGTTGATGGTTCACGTATTCCTGAAGCCTGGCTTGGAGAATTTTGAGCATTACTTTGCTAGCGTGTGGGATGAGTGCAGTTGTGCAGTAGTTTGAACATTCTTTGGCATTGCCTTTCTTTGGGATTGGAATGAAAACTGACCTTTTCCAGTCCTGTGGCCACTGTTGAGTTTTCCAAGTTTGCTGGCGTATTGAGTACAGCACTTTCACAGCGTCATCTTTCAGGATTTGAAATAGCTCAACTGGAATTCCATCACCTCCACTAGCTTTGTTAGTAGTGATGCTTCCTAAGGCCCCCTTGACTTCACATTCCAGGATGTCTGGCTCTAGGTGAGTGATCATACCATTGTGATTATCTGGGTCATGAAGATCTTTTTTGTACAGTTCTTCTGTGTATTCTTGCCACCTCTTAATAGTTTCTGCTTCTGTTAGATCCCTACCATTTCTGTCCTTTATTATGCCCATCTTTGCATGCAGTGTTCCCTTGGTATCTGTAATTTTCTTGAAGAGATCTCTAGTCTTTCCCATTATTTTGTTTGCCTCTATTTCTTTGCATTGATCGCTGAGGAAGACCTTCTTATCTCACCTTGCTATTCTTTGGACCTCTGCATTCAAAAGGGCATATCTTTCCTTTTCTCTTTTGCTTTTCACTTCCCTTCTTTTCACAGCTATTTGTAAGGCCTCCTCAGACAACCATTTTGCTTTTTTGCATTTCTTTTTCTTGGTGATGTTCTTGATTCCTGTCTCCTGTACAGTGTCACAAACCTCCATCCATAGTTCATCATGCATTCTGTCAGATCTAGTCACTTAAATCTATTCCTCACTTGCACTGTATAGTCATAAGGGATTGATTTATTTCTTTTTTTTGTTTGTTTTTTTTAGGAACATTTATTTATTGTCTTCATCATTGCGTCTAGGATAGTCTGACACATAGGATTGATTTATTTCATACCTGAGTGGTCTAGTGGTTTTCTCCACTTTCTTCTATTTCAGTCTGAATTTGGCAATAAGGAGTTCATGATCTGAGCCACAGTCATCTCCTGGTCTTGTTTTTGCTGTCTCTATAGAGCTTCTCCATCTTTGGCTGCAAAGAATATAATCAGTCTGAGTTTGGTGTCGACCATCTGGTGATGTCCATGTATAGAGTCTTCTCTTGTGTTGTTGGAAGAAGGTGTTTGCTATGACCCGTGCCTTCTCTTGGCAGAAACTCTATTAACCTCTGCCCTGCTTCATTCTGTACTCCAAGGTCAAATTTGCCTGTTACTCCAGGTGTTTCTTGACTTTCTACTTTTGCATTCCAGTCCCCTGTAATGAAAAGGACATCTTTTTTGGGTTGCAAATCTGAAGAGAATAGAGCAACCGTTTTTCTTCCCTGTAGTCATTCTGCTAAATGCAGAACATCACAGTTTTGAAAGAATTTGAGGATTTTTTCCTAATACAAGTTATGTTGGGGGGATTTCTTTTTTTTTTTTCTAATTTGTTTTTTTCGTTTAGGTGGATGTTCCCAAGGCCTTAATTATTGTCGCAGTTCAGTGTGGCTGTGATGGGACTTTTCTGCTGACCCAGTCAGGCAAAGTGTTAGCCTGTGGACTCAATGAGTTCAACAAACTGGGTCTGAATCAGTGCATGTCTGGAATCATCAACCATGAAGTGAGTACCCCATTTGGTGTCCTAAATAAACCATCAGAACCTCTCTAGGTTGAAATTTCTTTGGAAATGCCATTATTGATTTGTGACCACTTAAGAATAAAGTGAGGGTCTCCACAGATACTATGTCCAGCAAAGGTAGCCAGCCACAAAAGAGTACATACTATATGATGCCCATTATTTAAGTTTGTGTGTGCTAAGTCTCTTTAATCCTGTCCGACTCTTTGCGACCTCGTGGACTGTAGCCCACCAGGTTCTTCTGTCCATGAGCTTCTTCAGGCAAGAATACTGGAATGGATTGCCATGCCCTCCCCCAAGGTATCTTCCTGACCCAGGGATCAAACCCACATCTTTGACATCTCCTGCATTGGCAGGCAGATTCTTTACCAGTAGTGCCACCTGGAAAGCCCACTGATGCCCATTGTTTGAAGTTTAAAGGCAAAATTAACTTATTATGGCAGAAGTCAAAATAGTGGTTACTTCCGGAAGGAGGGGTATAGGCATTAACAGAAAAGGCAGGAGAGACCCTCGGATGGTGGCAATGGTCTGTATCTTGATCTGGGTAGTTTTTATGTTCATAAACCTATGGAAAAACATATCAAGCTTTACAGTATTGTACAGTACATTATACCTCAATAAATTAATTGATTATAAACAATCAAGTGATAGAATTCAGATTCTACCTTGTCCCTGAAATACAAACACAGGAAAATTAACATTGTGAAAAGAAACATTTTTCCATGTATCACCTCCAAGGAGAGTTTTTAAGATTACTCTCAAATCACTGATCCTATACAGGCTTATTAAATGTAATTACTGTTACCTCCTTCAAGCATGTCATAAAATACACCTCTAATATTAAGCCCTAGTGCCCTCTTTGTGGTAGTATGAGTTTTCGTCCTTTTCTAAGGAATCGTAGTAAGAGACAAGTTTGCTGACTCAGTGGGAAAGAATGGAATTAATTTTAAGCAATCTCTGTTTTAAAGTAGTGATTGTGAAATGGGAGAGTACAAATTTGGAGCAGGTCTTGGTAGAGTGTCTATGTAGTTTGAAAAGACATATTCAGAATTAACATTACTTGATTTGGATTTTGTTATTGAATTGTATTGTGAAATTTTAAACTTACATGACAAGATTTGTTTTTATGCTAATCTAAGGGGACATGGGTTTTAACAGGTTGAGAACTTTGTAGGTAAAATTAGGTCACAGTAAACTGATAGCTTAATAGGCTAGAGAGAATCTTCAAGATTCTTTAATTCCTTGCCCTGCTTTTGTTAGCTGTGCACAGTGTATAACCAAGACAGATGACAATGATTCTGTCCTTACATAGATGCCTTCTGAGATGGAGACTTCATGTTTTGCATACCTTAATGCAGCTATGAAATTAAAAGACGCTTACTCCTTGGAAGGAAAGTTATGACCAACCTAGATAGCATGTTAAAAAGTAGAGTCATTACTTTGCCAACAAAGGTCCGTCTGGTCAAGGCTGTGGTTTTTCCAGTGGTCATGTATGGATGTGAGAGTTGGACTGTGAAGAAAGCTAAGCACCGAAAAATTGATGCTTTTGAACTGTGGTGTTGGAGAAGACTCTTGAGGGTCCCTTGGACTGCAAGGAGATCCAACCAGTCCATCCTAAAGGAGATCAGTCCTGGGTGTTCATTGGAAGGACTGATGCTGAAGCTGAAACTCCAGTACTTTGGCCACCTCATGCGAAGAGTTGACTCATTGGAAAAGACCCTGATGCTGGGAGGGATTGGGGGCAGGAGGAGAAGGGGAAAACAGAGGATGAGATGGCTGGATGGCATCACCGACTCAACAGACATGAGTTTGAGTCAACTCTGGGAGTTGGTGATGGATAGGGAGGCCTGGCGTGTTGCGATTCATGGGGTCACGAAGAGTCGGACACGACTAAGGAACTGAACTGAACTGAACTGAATGGAATTTAAAACTTTTGTTGTCAGAAAGTCCAGTCTCATACTAAATTCTGATTACATATTGAACTTATTTCTTTTTTTATTCTGTTAGAGATGAAAGTTACCTGGTACCTTCTTAATAACATGATTTGCTTGAAAGTCCTTTTGGTCACCCTAACAATATTTTCAGCCTATTTTCTCTCCATTTTTTACCTCATGAGTCTTTGCTTATCTTGTTCCAGGCATACCACGAAGTTCCCTACACCACTTCCTTTACCTTGGCCAAACAGTTGTCCTTTTATAAGATCCGTACAATCGCCCCAGGCAAGACTCACACTGCTGCTATTGATGGTGAGTTGATTTACAACTGTGTACACAGGCCTTAGAATTTCAGGTTCTTTTATTCTATCAAGTAGTAGCTCTTTTTAACTAAATGTATGTTCTCCTTATTTCCCCCCCATCAAGTATTATCTTATTAACAACTTGGGCGTTCAAGTAAATGTTTTGTTGGTAATCATTATAAATGTATAATGAATACATTTCTTAAGGAAAATGCCATACCTATAATTTCTGGCAACTACTGTCTCTAATTAGCACCATCTGTAAGTTTTCTTATAAAAATTATAAGTTTCTTATAAAACTCTCTTATAAAAGGCAATGCCAAAGAATGCTCAAACTACTGCACAACTGCACTCATCCCACACGCTAGCAAAGTAATGCTCAAAATTCTCCAAGCCAGGCTTCAGGAATACGTGAACCATCAACTTCCAGATGTTCAAGGTGGTTTTAGAAAAGGCAGAGGAACCAGAGATCAAACTGCCAACATCCGCTGGATCATCGAAAAAGCAAGAGAATTCCAGAAAAACATCTATTTCTGCTTTACTGACTATGCCAAAGCCTTTGACTGTGTGGATCACAATAAACTGTGGAAAATTCTGAAAGAGATGGGAATACCAGACCACCTGACCTACCTTTTGAGAAACCCGTATGGAGGTCAGGAAGCAACAGTTAGAACTGGACATGGAACAACAGACTGGTTCCAAATAGGAAAAGGAGTACGTCAAGGCTGTATATTGTCACGCTGCTTATTTAACTTATGTGCAGACTACATCATGAGAAACGCTGGGCTGGAGAAAGCACAAGCTGGAATCAAGACTGCCGGGAGAAGTATCAATAACCTCAGATATGCAGATGACACCACCCTTATGGCAGAAAGTGAAGAAGTAAAGAGCTTCTTGATGAAAGTGAAAGAGGAGAGTGAAAAAGTTGGCTTAAAACTCAACATTCAGAAAACTAAGATCATGGCATCTGGTCCCATCACTTCATGGCAAATAGATGGGGAAACAATGGAAACAGTGACTGACTTTATTTTTTTGGGCTCCAAAATCACTGCAGGTGGTGATTGCAGCCATGAAATTAAAAGAGGCTTACTCCTTGGAAGGAAAGTTATGACCAACCTAGATAGCATGTTAAAAAGCAGAGACATTACTTTGTCAACAAAGGTCTGTCTAGTCAAGGCTGTGGTTTTTCCAGTGGTCATGTATGGATGTGAGAGTTGGACTGTGAAGAAAGCTGAGTGCCAAAGAATTGATGCATTTGAACTGTGGTGTTGGAGAAGACTCTTGAGAGTCCCTTGGACTGCAAGGAGATCTAACCAGTCCATCCTAAAGGAGATCAGTCCTGGGTGTTCATTGGAAGGACTGATGCTGAAGCTGAAACTCCAATATTTTGGCCACCTCATGCAGAGTTGACTCACTGGAAAAGACCCTGATGCTGGGAGGGATTGGGGGCAGGAGGAGAAGGGGACGACAGAGGATGAGATGGCTGGATGTCATCACCTACTCAATAGACATGAGTTTGAGTCAGCTCCAGGAGTTGGCGATGGATAGGGAGGCCTGGTGTGCTGTGATTAATGGGGTCACAGAGAGTCGGATATGACTGAGCCACTGAATTGAACTGAGACGTTCTCTAAGTTGAATAGTACCCATTTTCCACCTTTAAAGTAGAGTATATAGGGCTTCCCTGGTGGCTCAGTGATAAAGAATCTGCCTGCCAGTGCAGGGGACCCAGGTTCCATACCTAGTTTAAGAAGATCCCACCTGCCATGGAGCAGCTAAGCCTGTGCAACACAGCTACTGAGCCTGTGCTGCCTGGGATCTGTACTAGGATCAGTGCAGCCTGATCTGCCTGTACCAGAGCCTGGGATCTGCAGCTACTGTGCTGTATGTGTTGTGTGTAGGTGTAGGTGTTGAAGCCTACACACCCTAGAGCCTGTGCTGCACAAGAGAAGCCACGGCAATGAGAAGCCCGCACACTGCAGCTAGAGAGTAACCCCCACTCGCCACAGCTAGAGAAAAAGCCATTGCAGCAGTGAAGATCCAGCACAGCCAAAAATAAATACGATTTTTTTTTTAAAAAGAATATATAATATTGAGTCATTCCCTATATCTAATTGATCATAGTTCCCCTAACTGCCCTAGGTCTGAGATTGTATGGCAGTTTATACTTGTATATTCTTAATAACCAAAAGCTAGTCTGTGGGACTCTGCATTGTCTGCGTCTTCTCTGTTTCATGACCCATTTGTACCTGGTTAATTATTTTTGCTTCTGTCTCAGAGCGAGGCCGGCTACTGACCTTTGGCTGCAACAAGTGTGGACAGCTGGGCGTTGGAAATTATAAGAAGCGTCTAGGAATCAACCTGTTGCGGGGACCCTTGGGTGGAAAGCAAGTGATCAGAGTCTCCTGTGGTGATGAGTTTACCATTGCTGCTACTGATGGTGAGTCTGTTCACATTATTTCAAGCTTGCTGGACAGATGTGTATATTTTAATTTTGGGGTGTGAAAGAGGTGGACTGGCCATGTATAGCTGGGTCATGTGTTTACTTTTTTGTGTTAAATTGGTTGTTATGTTTTTATGCTGTGGAGCCTCATTAACTTTTCATGTGTCCAACATAGTGATTGTTGTAAAAAGGTTAGATTTCTAGAAAATGGCAAGTTAGTACCCTTAAATTCCTGGGTTTTTTTTTTACTTTTACTTTTTTGGCACAATGCTTTAAGAATTATCAAATACTTATATGTATACCTTGCCGAGCACAATGTTGGTTCCAATAATGTTGGCTGAGTAGCTAGAGAGATGAATGTGTGTGTGCGCCTATGTGCTCAGTCTTGTCCAACTCTTTGTGACCCACCAGACTGTAGTCCACCAGGCTCCTCTGTCCATGGGATTCTGCAGGCAAGAATACTGGAGTGAGTTGCCATTTCCTGACTCCAGGGATCTTCCTGACCCAGGAGTCGAACCTATCTCTTGTGTCTCCTGCATTGGCAGGCAGATTCTTTACCACTGGTGCCACCTGGCTAGAGAGGAGAACATCATGATTTGACCTTGCTCCTAGGTTGGGGTCACTGCACGCAGTGATGTCCTTAGGAATTGCTAAAACTTGAAAGGCTGTATACCATTTCTTCCTCAACTTTCTGAATTGGTCTAATGGGATTTTCTTCTTTCCTTTCAGCTATTTCTTCTCCTCAGCATCTTCTTGCTGTTACTTCTGCTGCCCTTTACTCCCTTTCCTCTTTCTTCTGCTTCTTTTTTTCTGTCTTCCTGTATCACCTTGATTTTTGTGGCCATTTCTTTCTGGTGAATGGTGAGCAGCAAAACACGTTTCATTTTCTTATCTTTCAACTCTTTTTTTTTTTTTAACTATTGCTCATGCTCAGAGATGTCTTTGTTTTCTTTCAGTCTGCTCCTGCTATTTATACAGGAGGGATCCAGCAATAGTGTCAGATAAGTGATCTGTTACCATACTTAAGGAAGTGAACCAGCCTTCAGAGTTGTTTGTCTCAAAACAAGGGGTTTTAGGGAACAGACTGGTTAGTTTATGCTAGATAACTGCAAATGTTAGAAATAGAATGAGTGTGTCATTGAGAATTAAAAATACTGTAGCAAGTTCAGTAGCACTTTCTGACAGGGCCTTAGAGAGGAAATGTTTTTTCAGTAGATGTGTACTTCTCAGGTTAAACTTCAGAATGATGAGTTTAGAATTGGATTCTGTGACTGGGCATATTACCTACTGATGTATGTTCCTCTACTTCTCTGAATTGTACTTGATCGCCTCACTCACATGGCAGATATCAGCTGTGTGCCTACTATGCTCCAGATCCTCTTTTAGACCCTGGGAATATGGAAGTGAGTTTCAGTAAAAATAGAATTGTGATCCAGCAATTCCATGCCTGGGCTTATCTCCAAATAAAAGGAAAAAAGTAATTCAAAAATATACATGCACCCCAGTGTTCATAGCAACACTGTTTACAATAGCCAAGACATGGAAGCAACATTAAGTGTCCTCCAAAAGATGACTGGATAAGGAAGATATGATATACATATACGATGAATGGGATATTACTCAGCCATTAAAAAGAATGAAATACTGTCATTTACAACAACGTATATGGACCTAGAAGGTATTACGTTTAGTGAAATAAGTCAGAGGAAGACAAACACTATATTAGCACTTACATGTGAAATTCAAAAATAAAACAAATCGATGAGTATAACAAAACACAAGCAAACTCACAGAGTGAGAACAAACTACTACGTAGTTACCAGTGGGGAGGAAGACGTGGCAAAGAGCAATATAGGGGCATGGGATTAAGAAACACAAACTGCTATGTATAAAAAATAAGCACCAAGGATATATTGCATAGCATAGGAACATACAACTATTATTTTATAGTAAATTTAAGTGGAATATAATCTATATTATTGAGTCATTATGTTGTACATCTGAAACTAATAAAATATTATAAATCAACTATACTTAAATTAAAAAAAAAAGTCTTAGTTGCTCTTCTCAGGGAATTCATAGTCTAGTAGGGTAGGGGCGATGTACATATAAACAGATTAGTGCAGTCAGGTAGGTTCACTGCTGTGATTGCAGTGTCCGGCTCTAAAGCTTGAAGTGTCCAGGGCTCAATCCTTCCCTCCCTTCATTTTCTGAGTGAGATTATTACCTTAAATCCTCCTTTGTACACTGATAGCTTTATATTACCATCCCTGACTCCCAGACTCACTAATTCAACTGCCTCTTGACTTAGAATGTCTAAAGATAAGGTGGCTTTATAGCCCAGTCTTCCCAGATTGGTCCTGATCCATGCCTATTGTCTGAGCTTAATCGTTAATAGGACCCCTTTTCATTAAAAAGTGTCCTGATTTGGATAAGAGGTAATGAACATCTCAAACAAACTTACTGTATTCCAAAACAAATTTCTGATTTTTTGTTCAAATCAGTTCTTCCTGCAGCCTTCCTGTTTTGGAAAACAGCACCTCTGTCCTACACCTCACATTCCATCCATTAGCAAATTCTAGAGATTATCTTTGAATATATCCAACCACTTCACTACTACATCAGTTCATTACTACAACTGATCTCCCTACTTCCACCCTTGGGCCCCCGCAGTCTGTTCTCATGGTAGCCTAGGGGATCCTTTTAAATACCTTCTGTTAAGTATTTCTACTGGTCTCCTCTCTCAAACAATAAAAACTAAAGTCATTGCAGTGGCCCACATGACCCAGACTTCAGTCACCTCCTGATCTCTTCTGTAGCCACTGTCCACTCCTTTACTTTGCTCCAACTGCAGAGGACTTCTTGCTCTGTGTTTGTGATACTCACCTTACTACATGGAGCTATGTACTTAGCTGTTTTCTCTGCCTGGAAAGCTCTTCCCCTGGATAGACGTGGTTCCCTCTCACTTGAGGAGGTCTGCTCAGGTATCAGCAAGCACTTCTCTGACTACACTATCTAAAGAAATGATACTCCACTGTTATAGTTTATTTCCACTTTTCTTTATTGTTGATCTTCCTGCAAAGCACTTAATACTACCTAAAGTAATTAATCAGTCTCTCCCCACTGGAAGGTCAGTTTCACAAGGGCATCGACTTTGTTTTGTTCACTGCCGTCTTCCCAGCACCTCAAGCAGTGCCTGTAATGAAGTAGATGACCAATAAATATTTGAATGGATGACCAAAAATGTTGAATGAGTGAATGAATGGATGGCAGTATGTAGAAGCGATGGTCATTTTTACCTCGGTGGCATCAGAAATTGTTTAGGCTTTATACAAGGGAATAAACGGGCGAAAAATCTTTTTAGCTCTAGAACATAAAGGTGGGGAATCCAAAAGAGTTGGGAAGCCAGTGTTCTGTTCAACTTTCTGCTATTTATTTTTTACAGATAATCACATTTTTGCCTGGGGCAATGGTGGTAATGGTCGCTTGGCAATGACACCCACAGAGAGACCCCATGGCTCAGATATCTGCACTTCATGGCCTCGGCCCATCTTTGGATCTTTGCATCATGTCCCAGACCTGTCTTGCCGAGGCTGGCACACCATTCTCATTGTTGGTAAGGTTTCCACTTGTTGATTAGGATGGCTTTGACAGAGGATAGACCCACACCTAAGTTACTGAGGGTCACACTCTTGCAAACAAAAGTGTCCTAAAGAAAAGAAGCTACTTCTGTAATCTAACAGAGATCAGGTGGTAGGAACAAGAACATTGTTATTTCCTGAGCTTTGTCACTTACTATCTCATGAAAACTTTGGGCTCTGCCCCCTTAACATAGAATTTGTTACTTCCACTAATTCGTTTATCTGTAATCATGCTTTTGTGAGAAGCATTCAGTACACCTTTAAAAAGAAACTAAACCATAACTGTCTTCTGCATAAAGATTCCTTTGTTATGAACTAAATTATAAAGGCCTGTGTAAAGGTCTACAAGTTCATTGTTTTAGGTCAGTGGTTCTCAACCTTGGCTGCACATTAGAATCCCTTGAGCTTTTAGAAATCCCATTGTCCTGACCAATTAGATCGGAACCTGTGGGTTGGGACATAGGCATTGCTACTTTCTAAAGCTTCCCAGCTAATTCCAAAGAATAATTAAGGTGGAGAATTGCTACTTCACACAGTGATTATTGCTAGTGGTGCTTGGCTTCTAATATTTATATCTAAAATAGTAATTAGTTGTCTGGTGTGAGAGGTAGCAGTTATTTCCTAGGTTAAGTTCCTGTCCAAGTCTTGTCACTTTTCCTGCCTCTGGCTGTAAACAGTGCTTACCTACTGAATGTTTTTCCTCAGAGAAAGTATTGAATTCTAAGACCATCCGTTCCAATAGCAGTGGCTTATCCATCGGAACTGGTAAGTAGCGGTATCTCAGGTTCCAGTGGTTTTCTCAGGTGCGAGTCTTTGGGTTGAATTCCATGCAGTCTCCCCAAAAAAAGGAAATGGGAAATATCTTTGGGAAATGAGGGGCACAGTGGTCAAGAGGGAAGAGCATATTTTGGTAGATTTCACAATAGATTATGACTTTTACTTTGTGGTCAGGGCTGCCACCACACATGGGGGAGTAATTACATGGCTAGCCCAACACTGTAATGTGACTTATGTACTGTTCCTTTCCTTAGAATGCTAGGGGCCATGTGTTCTGTCCACCCTTTACTTCTATGGTGTTTCCAGGGGTGTTCTAATCTGTAGAAATAGTCCTTCAAAACAGGCCGTCAGAATTAAAAGTTGGCTTAACTTTCACTGTGGTCAGGAAGATCAGCCTGAAGGTCTCTAATACTTTTCCTTTGGCTGCTTTCTTCATGGTTCCCTTATTTAGGGCCTTCCTAGGAAACTGAATCTGTGTTCCTTTTGGTTTTCCATTTGCTAGAGTACCTATAGTCCTTGATGTCTCAAAACTGGATATTTTGTGTAATCAAAACAGATAAAGACCCAGAATGAAAGCAAATTAATCCTCCAAAAAGACAGCTGCAAATCTGATCCAGACTTATTAAACTCTAGTTGACATAAACATGCATCATACCTATTATTAGTTTTCTTTAGTAACTCATTGCTCAGCATCTGTTTGTCCATATTAATATCTGTTACAAATGATAAAGTATCTTTTTGCTAAACACAGCTGTTCTGTTACAGCTTTATTTTACTGGAACAGTATTTAAAGGAAAAACATAAGATTAAAAGCACATGTCCATTATCTGGAAGATGTAAACTCTGTAAGAGCAGGGATTTTTGTCTTTTTTCTTCAATAATTTTATCCACATTGCCTAGAAGAGTGCCTTGCAAATGGTATTATAATTAGTAAGTATTTGTTGATTGAATGTGTTACAACCATCCAGTGGAATATTATATGTGTTAAAATGAACAACATCCACACATATTTCCATAATGTGAAATGTAGAAAGCAAGTTGCAGCAGTCTACATGCCTTTTTATAAAGTTTAAATACAAACAGAATAAATAATATATTGTATAAGGATACATAAGTGTGTGATAAAGTTTTTTTTTTCTCAAGAAGAAATGAAAAATACAAAATTAATCAGAGTAGTTATATCTAGGTAGGATGCCAGAGAAGGAAGGAATTCACAAGGTAGATAGAGCAATATCCTTGTTCAGTCCAGTCCTGTAACTCTTTCTGCAGCAGTGGGAATGTTCTGTATCTGTGCTCTCCAGTATAATAGCCACCAGTCACATGTGGCTGCCGAGCGCTTAAAAAGTGGCTCTTGTGACTGAAGAACTGAATTTTTAATCCTGTTTAAATTTAAATAACAAAATATGGCTAATAGGTACCATATTGGAAAGTAATTGTACTTTCACATAGTAGATTCATATATGTTTATTTTGTTAGGCATCAAAACTTACACATGTTAGAAATAGTCTTATGTATATGTCAGTGGTAATATAACTTTTACTTTTTGTAATATACTTTTTTTAAAGCCATTAAGACAAAAAAGCAAGCTTCAGAGATTATTTTGGCATCTACAGTTCTGCCGCTTTCATACAAGCACAGTGTGGCACAGTGCAGTCCTCAAACCAAGTTAGCTGGCCGTCATGAATAAATAATCCTTTACATTTAACTTTAGAAGACACCATGCAATTCTTTTTTTGTTGTTGTTTTTTGGCAAATTTCTTAGTTATATTTTTCTTTGGCCCATTTGAAAATTCAGTTTCATTTCCTGTCTGTGCATCAGCTCATCTTCATTAAAGGTAACTTGGAATCTGCTGCGTGACATGAAAGAACCAGCCATCACAGTTTTTGTGTTTGTGTTTGTTGTTATTGTGCTTAGTTGCTAAGCTGTGTCCAACTCTTTTGCAATCCCAGGGACTATAACCCGCCAGGCTCCTCTATCCTTGGGATTTCCCAGGCAAGAATACTAGAGTGGGCTGCCATTTCCTTCTCTAGGGGATCTTCCTGACACATTCTTTACTACTGAGCCACTTGGGAAGCCCTCATATTTTTTAAATTCTTACAGATAGTCATTAAAGAATTTGATGAATGTAATGGTTGAGGACTTCTCTATTCATTTGTTTTCCCAGAAAGGGAATTAATGGTGAGTTTATCTGGCAACTTTAAGAGGTGTTTGGCTCAAATGTGAAAAATCTTTTGTATTCAATATATAAGATGAACCTCTATGGAGGATGTTGGAGTCTGAACATTGGAAGGTGTGGAGGCAGTGGTTGGGGTCAGTATTCAGTAATCCTGTAGAACACTGATAATCTGCTGAACATAATTTACAAGCAAGTTTGGAAGGTAGAAGTGAATACTGCCATAAAGATCCTGATGCACAATACCTTGTGTAAAAAACTAGAAATTTAGTCCCAGGTATCTGACTTACACCGTTGCTGTTCCACTTCACACAACTCTAGGAAACTCTCCAGGGCTTGGTGGGGCTGTCAGCTGGTAAATATTGCTGGATAGCAAAGCTCTATTTCTGTGCTGTGTATCTGTCAGTGGTTCAGAGCTCCAGCCCAGGAGGTGGCAGCGGTGGCGGAAGAGAAGAAGAGGACAGTCAGCAGGAATCTGAAACTCCTGATCCAAGTGGAGGCTTCCGAGGAACAATGGAAGCAGACCGAGGCATGGAAGGTCTCGTCAGTCCCACCGAAGCCATGCGGATCAGTAGTGGGGCCAGCAGCTCCTGTCCTGGCTGGCTTCGAAAGGTAGTTCCTTTGGTGACGGGAACTCTGTAGGGACTAGAAGGATCTGTTTCCCATGTCCTGCTCAAGTGCTTTGCAGCAGGCATCTAGGTTTCTGGTTTCTACCTGAGCCGAAATCATCAAATCTCTAATCCTTTTTCTTCCTGACAAGAAAAGATAAGGTGGTCTCATACCTGTACTCCTTAAGTGAATGGAAATTAATGTAACCTTCCTTGGAAGAAGTGTTTGTAATGCATGTGTGCAAAGATTAAACTTGTAGATTTTGTACTGTGATTCGTAGAAGTAGGATATTGGGGTAGTTGGAAGCCTTACAGTAGAAAAATGCCTTAACAGTGGTTACCTGTGAGTGATGGAATTACTGGTGATTTTTATCATGTCCCTTTGCCTGTCTACATTTGCATATTTCCTACAGTCAATATTTATAGTTAAGGACTTCCACGGCAGTCCAGTGGTTGAGACTTTGCCTTCCAAAGCAGGGGGTACAAGTTCGATCCCTGACTGGGGAGTTAAGATCCCACATGCCTAGTGACAGAAACAGTATTGTAACAAATTCAGTGAAAAGACTTTACAAATGGTTGACATTGAAAAAGAAAAGCTTCTTAAAAAAAATTATAATTAAGAGAAATTTTAAAATTTTTACCCCCCCCCAACAAAAAAGGGAACCTGTAGATGTAAAGCCCCCTCTGTAATAATATTAAACTTGATAGCTACTTAGGAATGTGAATGAAAGAAGCGGCGCACAGTTCTGTCTAAAGCTTTAGCAGCCTGGCAGTTAGCCTCACTGCCATCACCTTAGAGCTTCCCAACTTACTGAATAGCCTTTGTTGACTGAGTGTGTTGAGGCATCACACTGAGTATCAAAAAGTGTTCTTGAATTTGAATTCCCTTCACTATCAGCTCCTCAGAGGAAGGACTGGCAGATGTTGACTGACAGGGCAAACTGTATTGTAACCACAACTGTCCTGCTCCACTAGAGGGTGCCGATGACACGTCAGAGTGAAAGCTATAGCAGGGAAGGAATTCGGACGAAAGTGAAAGGCTCAGACAGAACTGATGAGGTTCTTTCTCTCGTACATAGGAGCTGGAAAATGCAGAATTCATCCCTATGCCTGACAGCCCATCTCCCCTAAGTGCAGCTTTTTCAGAATCTGAGAAAGATACTCTGCCGTATGACGAGCTACAAGGACTCAAGATGGCTTCCGAAGAGCCTTTGGAACACAAGCCCCCAGCAGGAGCCTGGGTAACTGAGCTTTTGCCTTAAAATCAAGACTAGATAAACAGTGGCTGTAAGCTCCGCCCCATTCTCCTGGCCTCCCTGTCTCCCCTTCTAGCTTCATTGTTTCTCAGCTGCCCAGCATCAATTCACACTATCTGTTCAGTAGTGCTTAAAGCCTCTATGCAAGGCTAAACCGACCTCTGTGGAAAGTATTTATCCTTTTGTATTTCTGACAGGCCCACACCTTTTGATACCAGATGATTGTCTGTCTTTTCTCTCTGCCTTCAGTTGAGTTCAGTTCAGTCTCTCAGTCTTGTCCGACTCTTTGCAACCCCATGGACTGCAGCATGCCCGGCTTTCCTGTCCGTCACCAACTCCCGGAGCTTGCTCAAACTCATGTCATAGAGTCTGTGATGCCATCCAACCACCTCATCCTCTGTCATCCCCTTCTCCTCCTGCCTTCAATCTTTCCCAGCATCAGGGTCTTTTCAAATGAGTCAGTTCTTCGCATCATGTGGCCAAAGTATTCACCAAAATATTTCAGCTTCAGCATCAGTCCTTCCAATGCATTTTCAGGACTGATTTTCTTTAGGATAGACTGGTTGGATCTCCTTGCAGTCCAAGGGACTCTCAAGAGTCTTCTCCAACACCACAGTTCAAAAGCATCAATTCTTCAGTGCTCAGCTTTCTTTATAGTCCAACTCTCACATCCATACATGACTACTGGAAAAACCATAGCTTTGACTAGATGGACCTTTGTTGGCAAAGAATGTCTCTGCTTTTTAATATGCTGTCTAGGTTGGTCATAGCTTTTCTTCCAAGGAGCAAGTGTCTTTTCATTTCATGGCTGCAGTCACCATCTGCGGTGATTTGGGAACCCCCAAAAATAAAGTCTCTCACTGTTTCCATTGTTTCCCATCTATTTGCCATGAAGTGATAGTTCCAGGTGCCATCACTTTAGTTCTCTGAATGTTGAGTTTTAAGCCAACTTTTTCACTCTCCTCTTTCACTTTCATCAAGAGGCTCTTTAGTTCTTTGCTTTCTGCCGTAAGGGTGGTGTCATCTGCATATCTGAGGTTATTGATATTTCTCCTGGCAATCTTGATTCCAGCCCGCACTTCATCCAGCCCAGTGTTTCTCATGGTGTACTCTGCACATAAGTTAAATAAGCAGGGTGACAATGTACAGCCTTGGAGTACTCTTTTCCTGATTTGGAACCAGTCTGTTCCATGTCCAGTTCTAACTGTTGCTTCTTGTGCATACAGATTTCTCAAGAGGCAGGTCAGGTGGTCTGGTATTCCCATCTTTTTAAGAATTTTCCACAGTTTGTTGTGATCCACACAATCAAAGGCTTTGGAGTAGTCAGTGGAGCAGATGTAGATGTTTTTCTCTCTGCCTTAGAAATTCCAAAATTCAAGTTCAGTTTTTCATGACACCCTGAGCGTAGGTTGGAGTTTTAAGTATATATAAGAAATAATACTTTTAGTCTATTGGGAGAGCAACGCATTTATTCCCAACTTTGGTAGAAATCAAATTTTGGTAACTATCTCAATAAAACTGTAAACTGGGGATCATCAAACTTTTCTAAAGGACTGCTTAGTAATTATTTTAGGCTCTGCAGACCATATAGTCTCTTGTGACCACGCAACACTGACAGTGGAGCACAAAAGCAGCCAAAAGGAACGCCTAATGAATGGGCATGTTTATGTTCCAGTAAAACTTTATTTACAAAAACAGGCTGTAGGCTGGGTTTGGCCGATGGCTATTATTTGTTGACCCTTTTTAAAAGTACAGTAGAAAAAGGGAGAAAAATCCAGGCTAGCATAATTGAAAAGCTTCCCAGAAGAGGATATAAAGCCTTTGAAACTTCAAGGTAAACATTTTTATTCCTCTGTCAGTTAGCAGTCTTGAATTGTTTTGGTGATGCAGTTTATTGAACACCTCTTAAATCTCTTCTCAAGTGTGATCCACTATATTTCATGAATATTGACCCTTTGAATCATGGTGTCCTCACTGTGATCATACTTGTTCCAAACCAAATTGTGTATTCTCCCACAGCTTTAAATTGGGAAGATATCAATGACTTTAAATTATTTCACAGAGTCCTCGAAAATAGATGATTTTTCTTTTAGCTTACCATAATGCAGCTGAGGCACTGAGAGCTCCCTTGCTCTGTGATGTTAAAACCAGCTTCTACAGTAATCCCGGCAGTTTTCTGTTTCTCTTACATTGACTTCATGTGTGTGTGTGTTTTCTTATTACTTTAAAAGTAAAATCTGGTGGCACATAGAAGGGACATTGGATTAGGGAGCTGTAGCATACGGGCAGAACCTCCTGTGACCCTTTCTCTCCTGTCTCTCTAGCCACCGCGGCTGAATCCTGCAGGAACATGTGCTGGGAAGGGAACACCCTTGGCTCCTACCTGTGCGTGCAGTACTCTGCAGGTGGAGGTTGAGAGATTGCAGGGTCTGGTGTTGAAGTGTCTGGCTGAACAACAGAAGTTACAACAAGAAAATCTTCAGATTTTTACCCAGCTGCAGAAGCTGAACAATAAATTAGAAGGAGGGCAGCAGGTGAGAGCATTAAAAGAATAATTCAATTTCTAATTTTGTTTTGAAGAATCACAGAAACAAAACACCAGTCACTGAAATAGACTCACTTCTTTGCAAGTACTTATTTTTTGACAGTGTAACTTTTGTAATTAATCCCAGAAGCTCCATCTGTCTTTAGGCACCTGGATTGAATCATCTCATCACCTAACTCCATTGTTTTTTTGTTGCCTTTGTTTTTTCTTTTACTTATTATGAAAAATCTTAAACATTGCAGTTCAGTGGACTCACGTACATCCACCATCTAGATTCAGCAGTCGTTAATATGTTGCTGTGATTGTTTCAAATGTGTATATGTTTAAATATGTGTTGGTATTTATCTGTGTGTATTTGAAATAGGATTGTGTGTATATGTGTATATTATTTTTTCTTTTTCTTTAGCTAAACCATTTTCAAACAAATTATGCAAGTCATGACATAGCTGCCCTAAATACTTCATTACATACATCCAAAAATAGACACTCATGCTTCTGGAGAACCATAGTACTATTATCACATTTAACAAAAATACTACTAGTATTCTTAATTTTCATCTAGTACTCAGTTGACACTCAAATTTTCCCAGATTACCCACACAAAAAAAATATTCTTTATAACTTTTTATCAGACCAGCAACCAGTTAAGAACCTCCTTTGACGTTACGTTTCTTGTTTCTTTTATGTAGAACAATTCCCTGTATTACCACTCGTACCCCCGTTTTTAAAAAATTTTTCATGGCTTTGGTTTGTTGAAGAAACAGGGTCAGTCATTTAACAGAATGTTCTACATTCTGGCTTTGTCTTATTTTCTTGAGATGTTACTTGTTCTTTTGTCACCTTGTCATTTCTGTAAACTATAAGTTAGACTTAAGGCTTGATTAGATTCAAGCTAAGCCTTTTTGGTAAAAAAAAACTTCACTGGTGTTGCTGCTAGCATCATTTTTAAAGGGTCTATACTTTATATAATATATAATATAACTAATAATAGTTATATAATATAACTAATATATATAACTATATATAATACTCTATACAGTATTGCTCTGTATAGAGTGAACTAGGATAGGGAAATACTGTGAACCATTGGCTTTTTCCTTTATCGGCTTTACACGTTTGCACAAATTAGTTTGTTTCTCTGAGCCCTTGTTTTCACCTGAAAGAAGAAAATAATACCACCTACCCAGTATGGTTGTTTGGAGGATTAAATGAAATAATGTCTGTGACGGTATTTTGGAAAGTAATATACACAGTTGAGGTAAGCACGAAGTGATTGGCAGCGGTAGCAGGCAGGAGGACCGTTCTGCCTAGGGCTGTTAAGAGTTTTAAAACCAAAAATTCTGCATCCCAGAAAGTCCTGCAGCCCTGGGCAAATTGCAACACTTGGTCCCCCTACCTGCAACAAGTGTACAGGAGTGGACTTTACATAAAGTCTTATTATTCCGGTAGTATTATGGGCTCACAGAACTGTGGCTACACATTTAAGGGGTTGGCATTGAAAATGTAGTCCTGAACTGCCGTAACTAGGTGGCAGTTAACCTGGAACTGTGTTTTATCTGGACAGGTGGGGATGCATTCCAAAGGAACTCAGACAGCAAAGGAAGAGACGGAAATGGATCCAAAGCCTGACTTAGATTCAGATTCCTGGTGTCTCCTGGGAACAGACTCCTGTAGACCCAGCCTCTAGTCTCCTGAGCCTGTCTAGCCTCCAGGAAACTAGGATCCAAAGACCTTCACAGCACACTTACTGAACGCAGAGAGCGCTTTCCTGGCTTCATTCACTTGCAGACAAGGAGCGCGAGGCAGAGGTTCCGAAGCACTTTCCATGTACACTTGGAGAGCAGCACTGCCTATTAGGATCTAGGAGTGGTTTTGTGTTGGAGAACGGAGGGCCCCATGGCCCTGGCTTTGTCCTCAGTGACTGCCGTAGCAACAGCAGCTCTGTACCTCATCTGGTGATCCCACCTTTGAAGAGGAGACACAATGCTCACGTTCATTTTGCTGCTAGCAGCTTATATCCCACTTATCATTTTCACCGTTAATTGGAAGCTGCCTTGGGAATTCAGTGCCAGGCATTGCACCTCTGTGGGAGGAGGTTAAAGTGTAAAGCTGAAGGGGGCTGGAACCAGGTGTGGCCCATCCAGGGTCATCTGGAGAGTGGCGAAGTGTTCTAAGCCCTCTCAGGAGCCTTAGTCCAAGAAAGTATGTCTGGTGGAGTAAGTCTCCAGCTTGTTTTCAGAAAGTTGAATTACTTTGTGCAGCTGAATGCTTTAGGAGGAACAATGGGCTTAGATTGCTTTTCCTCTGAGAGTTGAGTGGAACTTGTTCAGTGAGGAGCAGAGAAAGAAGGGCAGGTCCCTCCTCGTCACACAGCAGGAGTGTCAGGGTGGGATTTCCTAGCTTTGGGAAAGCCTTCTGAGAGATGAGGCGTCTCGTAGAGAACTGAGTCCATGGGGCAGAGGGAATGGACTTTGGAGGAAACCATGAGGGGAGGTCCTCCTTAGCTGCCTCTGCTTGGTATCTTCGAGAGGACCTAGAGTGACTTGAGTCTCTCCTCTGAAGAGGCTACTTGTGCCTCTACCTTCGTGGCTCTTAGGGTTCTAATCTTGACATCAGCAGCCCCAGCCACTCCCTTTCTGTATGTCTAGTCAGTATTTTTCCCCTTTTGGTGTTTTATCATATCAGTGAATCTGTATCATCTTTCCTACTTGAGTGGCCCAGAGCCAGCACCAAAACCTGGTAGTCCCTGAAGCCTGACAGAACAGGAGGAGCCTGCCAGTTTTTGAGAGGAATTTTGGCTGAGAGCTCCCTTCTGATCCCCATGTCTTCATGTCGTTGTAGACAGGAACACGCCAGCTCTTCCAAAGAGAGCAAGTGTCCTAGAAACATTTGATGGTTTTACTTAAGGAGGCGAGCTTTGTTTCCAGCTCGCCTTTACATGAGCTGCCTTGATGACCGTCACATCCTACCTCCTTAGAAAGAGCTAAAATGATTTGTTTCATGTTCCCCAACCAACAAGTAAATGTTTGATATCTATTTAATATTTTGGAAGGACCTGTGCAATGGAAATTTTGCCATTTCCCTACAATTGGTGGTGTGAAGGCTGCTGCTCCAGGAAAACCCCACAGCTGGGGATGGGCAACTCTACTCAATGGGATCTTCTTTGGTTTGATATTCCCATTGTTTTCTCAATTCTGCGAAGCCTAGTACAATGGTACTAATGTAATCACTGAAGCCTTTTCTTAAAATAAGGGAAGGGGCCAACCCTGGATTAAAGTTACAAGTTCTGGGGACTTGGGGGGTTTGCAACAAACCCTAACAATGGGTTTTGGTTCATCATGTAAATGCAACTTTTTTTTTTTAAAGGACTGACTGGCCTTTCATGTTCCTGTATCCCTTATGCTCACCGTCTCAGCAGGCCTGAGAGGCAGGGTCAGTTTGGGTGTTAATCATGAGTATTGCTTGTGCCATGGAACTGAGGGACATGGGCACGTTGCTGAGACTGTGGGTGAAGGAGCACTGAAGGGAGGAGGGTGGGAGCCCTGGCTCCAGAGGGGGAGTCACTCTCCAGCAGTGGAACACGGGGGTCATTTGCTCTAGCATGTTCCCTTGGGAAGTCTTGGTTTGCTCTTAATCTGGATGAGAATCTAAGTTCTGTGCCTTAGAGACAATTTGCACTTTCCCAAATTGTGCCTGGGACAGCCACATGATTTTTCCCACCAAAAAGCTATGCAAACAGAAACCAGTTCATAGGTGGCAGCCACACATCAGATAAGAAGTGAAAGGTGAGGCAGCAGAAATGCCTTTAACTGGTTTTCTGTAGCTAATTTTAAATTGTGTCCTGTTTTTCTTCTTTATGTAGTGCTAGGTGTTTTAAGTTTTCCAGTAGTATTGCTTTTGCATTATAGTATAACCTGAGTTACTCATTTGCTCTGACATTGTTGCTGAAGAATTAGCTTATTGTTAGCCAGATGTTTGAAAGGTTGAGGGTGGAGTGGTTTGGCATTTCTGTTTTAAATAAACATTTCAACTCTCCATCAGTGCTATGCCTCAGTGAGCCTGCACATGGACCTTAGTCACTGGGGATCAAACACACAGACTCCAGGCCTTCGTGAATCTTTGATTCAGTGAGTCTTTATATAAATAAATAAATAAATGCAAGGGGCATTTGCAAAGAAATAATCTTTGCTTCTTTCCAATTTGTTTTTCTTGGTAATAGAATCATTTTTGCTGCTACAACTTTCTTCCCCCAACCCCCAAACTTCTAAAATATAGTGCTTTAAAGCACAGAAGGAAAAAAACATGAGCCATTAAAAGACGAAGGGTGATGTCTTGTACTTATCTCCTCAGTCACAGTGGGCTTTTTCAAGTGATACTGCCAGTTTATGTTTATCAAACTGTTTTCCCTCAAAAAGGCTGAACTGTGTTTGGTCTCCCTGACATAGCATAGCCAAGTTATAACTTCTCTTGGCTGAACATTTCACTAAAGTTAAAAGCAAGAACAGACCTAAACTCACATTTCATTTGTTTTTGCCATATATTTGGAAACATTCATAATAGAACAACTCTGGTGCAAGGATGTATTGTAAATAAATTATTTCAAATGAGCATCCCTGGGCCTCTAAAGTAGTATTATTCATGATAGTGTCAGGGCAGAGTGGCTGTAGTCAGGACTGCAAAACGTGTTCCTTCCAGCCACAAAGCAAAAAATCATTTATCGCTGCAGTGATTAACCATAGAGATAATTTAGTGGTCCATGCTGACTGTTAAATCTCACAGATGAACATTCAGGAGGAACACTGTATCATTTCTCTGCTACCTCCTGTGTGGCTGTGAAAAGTGACAAATTGATGACCTACAGCAAATGCTGGCCAAAGGTGAGGTGTTGCACTCAACAGACTGCTGTCAATACTGTCTCAGCATGTCTGCATATACTTTTCAACGAAGTGAGTCTTACTGTGAGATTTTTTTCCCATTGCTTAACCTTTTGAACTTTAAAAATTTATAGCGTCTACACTAAAGTTTCTTGGATACAGTAGTATAACACAGAGACATTAACAAGCAGCATTTATTTATCCTCTGTCATCCTCTGCTCTCCAGGAAGAGACTGAGATAGAAAAAGTGTTCTTACTTCTGCCCAAAGATCCAATCAAGCTGAACTTAAAAGGCTAATGGATATTCCTGTTGTAATCAAGGCCTAAACATTTTGAGATGGAAGGGAACACTAGGGCATTGACTATTGTTTATCTCTCTAGCAGCATAAGAAAGCGCTCCCCACACACACATTGGTTCTCCCTGGAGGCCCCGGCCTGTGACCTTGTAACATCATCGGGGGGCCTGACCAGGCAAAGAGGCGGAGCGCGCTGGGCGGGCGGTGGTGCGCTCTCTGCTCCTCCCTGCCTGGGAGGAGCAGCTGATTCCGAACCCCACTCGGTGCTGAGCAGAGCTGCAGGCCCAGGGCTTCCAGAACTTCCCATTTTTCACAAGATGCTCCATGTCACCGTTTTTAAATGTCAGATTATACTTTTAATGCTGTGTCAGTCCAAACACACCTGTGAAGCAAAGCAGTCCACAGGCTACCACTTTGTGACCTTGGCCACCACTCATTCTCATCATCTATTGCTTTTACCGTCAAGTGTGAAACCTAAAAGTGGGTACCTCATTAAACTTGCCAGGGAACTGTATATATATTTGGTTAAATATCCGGTGTTTCTCTGTGAGGTTTCTTGAAATGACCAACCAGAGGCCCCATTATGTTATACCTCTTTTTCTTTGTAACAGGAAAAGCATAAAGCATTATATGCTGTTTTTTAAAATATATATGATTTTGTTTTCAGCCTAGTGTCCAGCAGCTTCACAGCTAATGCCTTAAAGATGGGCATATCAAATTGGTCTGATATGTTGGCCCAGCCACTTGGCGGAAGCTGCAGAGGAAACGGAACAAGAGTGAGTGGCCATTTGTAGTTAGTAAATATGGCTTTATGGTCTGCACAGCCCCCTTTGCCTGGATCAGCTTTGTTGACTTTTCTCCAGTATTTTAAACTAACAGTTTAAGTAATGCTCTCAGGACAGTAATCTTATTGGTATTTCAGATCTGTTGTGCTCACTTCATTCTACCTGAACTGATATTTCCCCCATCAGACACTGCATTATCACTTCTCCTGTCTGACAAGTCTGAAAGTGAAGTCACTCAGTCGTGTCCAACTCTTTGCGACCCCATGGACTGTAGTCCACCAGGCTCCTCTGTCCATGGGATTTTCCAGGCAAGAGTACTGGAGTGGGGTGCCATTTCCTTCTCCACTGACAAGTCTAGGACTCACTGACTTTATGATTTAATTTTAAATTCCCCAAACCTATTTTTTCAATGCCTAATTATGAAGGTTACTTGCAGTAGGCATGATTCTGCTGAGAAAATTTTAGATCTGGCATCTTCTCCTTCAAAGTTTACTTTCTAGAAGAGAGGTTTACTGTGATATAATCAGTACAGACATGTGACACTGAAATGTCCCAGCTTGCTTTGAGGGTACATTTTGCTGCGTCATTTTAAAAGTCATCAAACCAAACTGATTTGAAAGCAGAGTGCTAGCAACCGCTGAAACTAAAGTTCCTTCCTTCCTTTTTTTTTTTTTTGACATATGAAATCCATTAGAAAAGAGACACAGTGTGCTTTCCCCCATCCCTACCCTGTAAAGTACATAAAGATGAGGTTCCCCTTATTACACAGCACAGCATGGGGAGGGTTTGGGACATACTGGCACCCTAACCTGACAAGAGATGCCATGCATGATCCTGTGACACCAGTGAGCCAACTTCTTACAAGAACAAGAAGACTTAACCGGAACCACAGACATACATGCAGAGGCAGTGGCAAGAAGGCACAACAAATGCAGGCACTTAAACTAGCACAAACCACAATCAGGCTTTCGAGAAGAGAGCTTTAATGTAGCCTGCTCACTGCTCTTAAGTTTCTTCAGCCATCAGTTCTCAGAACAATTACATCAGGCACATCAGCCGGAGGTGGGGATTTAATGGGAAGCTGAGGCCTCCTTTTGCATCTTGCTGCTTAGCAATGGGTCTCTCTTTCTTCACTGATCTCAGCTCTGCAGGCAGATCTGGGATATGTAAAAGTTTTAGTTCTTTCTGCTCAGCATCAAATTACCCTACTCCTACTTACTGCTCGAGAGAAGCAGAAGCCTTCTGGACCATCGAGGAGGTTTCCACTGTTGTCTGCTCAACTGTAGTGCTTTCTTGGAGGCGGAGGACGGTTCTTGATGGTCTTACACTTGGGGATGTGCCGCTCTGCCACCTTGGGAGCAAAGTGGCGGCTACAGTGAGGGCACTGAATATAGTCTGGATTTTCTACAGGCAGGATGGGAGGCAGGTCTGAGGGGTTTCCACCCTTGGCAATCACCTGCTGGAACTCTCGAGCCTGACGGAGGGTACGGATGAAGGATTCATGCTTCTGTCTCCAGTTGCTCTTCCGAGGAGGTTTGGCCTGTCAGTTGAAGAAAGACTAATCATTTAACTTAGTGTCTAGGTCATCCCTTTCCTGAGTCTCCGTTAGAATTATAGTAAGGAAGTTAAAAGGGTGTTAATACACAAGGTCAAAGAGAATAGGAAAGGAGCAACAATAACTGACTTGCCATAGTGGAGATACTTAAACCTAAGGGCCTGCAAAGGCAAGTATCACTGAGAGGCAAGCCGGTTTTCCCTGAGAGGCTTAATGCTTGGAAATACAGGTAGTGGAAAGGGGGAGGCACAGGGCTGAGAATAGGCTGGCTCCCATGGCTCCTCTCCACCTGGCACATCCAAGTGCCCAGCACTTCTGACACCCTCTCTGGAGAAATTGAACCAGACAGGTTTCAGACTCAGGATATCCAGGCACAATGGAGAACAGGGTTATCTAGGAGCTGAAATGGGATTAAGGGCAAGTTGTACATGATATACTGTGTCCCCCACCATCCTCCAGAGTACCAGGCACACTGGACCCTCATAGGAGACGAGATTTCTCTGGATGCATTGAGCAGTTGATAGAGAAGTTGAAATGCTGACTCTGAGCAACCCCACTTAACAGGCTCACTGTTTGATAACCCTAATATGAGAGCCCTCAGTCAATAAGCCCCACTTAAGCTTAAATATGAATGGACAGACAAGGATCACTAGACATTTGAGTAAAGCTCTGACTTGAAACTTTCCTGACTTCAGACTATACTACAAAGCTACAGTCATCAAGACAGTATGGTACTAGCAGAAAAACAGAAATTTAGACCAATGGTACATGATAGAAAGCCCAGAGATAAACCCATGCACCTATAGGCACCTTATTTTTGACAAAGGACGCAAGAATATACAATGGAGAAAAGACAGTCTTGTCAGTAAGTGGTACTGGGAAAACAAGACAACTACATGTAAAAGAATGAAATTAGAATACTTCCTACCACCATACAAAGATAAACTCAAAACGGATTAAAGATCTAAATGTAAGACCAGAAACTACTATAAAACTCAGAAAAAAAAGCAGAATACACTGACATAAATCACAGCAAAATCCTCTATGACCCACCTACAGTAATGGAAATAAAGGAGGTATAATTAAACTTAAAAGCTTTTGCACAGCAAAAGAAACTATAAACAAGATGAAAAGATAATCCCTCAGAATGGAAAAAAATTAGTTATAAATGAAGCAACTGACAAAGGATTAACCTCCAAAATATACAAGCAGCTCAAGCAGCTTAATATTAGAAAAATAAACAACTCAATCAAAAATGGGTAGAAGACCTAAACAGACATTTCTCCAAAGAAGACAGATGGCTAATAAACACATGATAAATTTACTCAACATTGTTTATTATTAGAGAAATGCAAATCAAAACTACAACATATCACTTCACACTGGGCAGAATGCTCTATCTCTGTGTTCAGTCATATCCAACTCTGCAACCCCATTCATTAACTGTAGCCTGCCAGGCTCCTCTGTCCATAGGATTTTCCAGGAAAGAAGACTGAAGTGGATTGCCATTTCCTCCTCCAGGGGATCTTTCCAACCCACAGATTGAACGGAGGTCTCCTGCATTCGCAGGCATTTTCTTTACCACTGAGCTACCTGGAAAGCCAGAATGGCCATCATCAAAAAAATCTACAAACAATAAATGCTAGAGGAGGTATGCAGAAAAGGGAATCCTCTAGTACTGTTGGTGGGAATGTAAATTGATACAGCCACTAGGGAGAACAGTTTGGAGATTTCTTTAAAAACTAGGAACAAAATTACCATATGACCCAGCAATCCCACTACTGGGCCTATGTACCCTGAGAAAACCACAATTCTAAAAGACATATGTATCCTAGTGTTCAGTGCAGCACTATTTACAGTGGCCAGGACATCTAGGCCAGGAAGCAACCTAGATGTCCCATCAACAGATGAATGGATAAAGAAATTGTGGTACATATATACAATAGAATATTTCTCTGCCATAAAAAGGAACAAATTTGAGTCGGTTATAGCGAGGTGGATGAACCCAGAGCCTGTTATACAGAGTGAAGTAACTCAGAAAGACAAATATTGCATATTCACACATATATGTGGAATCTAGAAAAATGGTACTGACGAACCTATTTGTAGGACAGCAGTACAGACTCAGACATAGTGAACAGACTTGTGGACAAAGCGGGGGAAGGAGAGGGTGGGAAAAGAAGAGAGCAGCACTGAAACACACGCACTACCACGTGTAACACAGAAAGCCAGCAGGCATCTGCTGTATGATGCAGAAGGCTTGGCCGGGTGCTCTGTGACAACCTGGCTGGGGTGGTGGGAGGTAGGGGGAAGGTTCAAGAGGCAGGCTATGGCTGACTCATGTTGATGCATGGCAGGAACCAGCACAACACTGTAAAGCAATTATCCTCCAATTAAAAATAAATTTTATTTAAAAATCATAATATCAACAAATGAGTATTAGAAGAGATTTTGTCTATGAAATGAGAATATATATATTATGAAAAAGTAATGAGAAAGCCAGAAGTAACTACTATATATTAATACTGTGATAACTAAAAAACAGAACTGTTGTAAATAATGTCAGAAAAATTACTCAGAATGGGAAGAAAGAATTAAGATGGAAAGTAGAAAACATCAGAAAATTAGAAAGCCAATCTAGAAAATCCAACACCAACCAATAGGAGTTCCAAAAAACAGGACAAGGAGGAAATTATTAAATAAATAAGACACTAAGCAGTCCTAGAAATAAAGGTCCCTACCCTTGAGATTTAAATGGCCTACGCACTACCCAACACAATCACTGTAGAATTTCATATTAAAGAGAGAATCCTATAAACTTGGATAAAAAGCAAAAATACACAGATTTCATATAATGGAGAAGGAAACAAAATGGCATCAGATTTCTCAACAGTAACACAGGATGCTAAAAGCTAGTAGTAAACGATCATAAAAGTTCTAACAGAAAATAATTTCCACCTCGAATTCTCTACCTGGCCAATTCATCAGTCAAAAATAAGACTATTGTATAGATATTTTCATTCATCCCATGACAAGAAAAAAAAAAACATGCCTCCATTCACGTTTCTTAATAAGCCTCTCCAAAGCAAGGAGTCAAGCAAGAAAAAGGAAGACACAAGATGCTGGGAACCGAAGAGAAGCAAGAGAAGGTTCAAGACAACAGGTCTGCACCAGGCCTGGGGAAGAACCAGTCTGGCCTGGAGCAGGAAGAAAAAAATGGGAGGGAGGTCTCAGAATGGAAAAGTCAAATGGATAAGACTATGAGAAGTGTTTGAGCAGTTACAAAAACATTAACTGGTGTCTGAACCTGGGAGGACCACTTAGGGGGAAAAACACATTTGAGATAGGTATGTAGGAAACCAAACAAATTAAAACATGAGTCAATTATTAACTCAGTATATGTGGGCAGGGGCAGATTCTGTTCACTGAACAGTGAGCAAAATTTATGTGATTATTATCACATAAATAGCTGACTACTGGTTTAACCCAAAATTGTGATTTCACTACAATAGAAGGACAGAAGTGGGAGGAGAGGGGATATGAACCCAGTGTCTGTAAGTGGAGGTGAACAGATCATGTGCAAAACTGATAAATCAAGAAAATAAGTATATTAGAAATAAGCATTCCAGAAGAGTCATCTATCAGAACTGCCTGTGGGGGACAGATGAAAGGTGAGAGAGGGATGAGGCAGAAGACTGTTGATCTGCACTACAGGTCACTTAGGAATACGTGATTTTTTAAATGTATTCAAATATTAGATGAAAATAAAATTAATATTAAAAAGAAGGGGAAAAAAGGCAAGTAGCTACTTGGTGATGAATATAGGAAGAGATGTTATCAAAAGGAAAGGAAGGATCCATCAGGAGAGTCTTACTGAAAGAGACAAGGTAAGAGAATCAGTGTTAGAGATGGTATCTAGCAACCTTTAGAATTAAGGAAAAGTTCCTCAACCATATGATACTTATACTTTAATTCTTCATTGTACTGAAGTTCATTCAATTAACACTTACGAATCACAAAGCTCAAAGATGTAGTCTCTTACACTCAAATGCACGATGTACAGTAGAGAGACCAGAAGTACGAGTCTATTGGAAATTATGTGAATAATAAAGGAGAGAAGAAAAATCATCTATTCTTGTGACTACACAGAAGGAATGACAGACACACAAAATGGCTATACTACCCAAAGCAATCTACAGATTCAATGCAATCCCTATCAAACCACCAACGATATTTTTCACAGAACTAGAACAAATAATTTCACAATTTGTATGGAAATACAAAAAACCTCGAATAGCCAAAGTAATCCTGAGAAAGAAGAATGGAACTGGAGGAATCAATCTGCCTGACTTCAGACTATACTACAAAGCCACAGTCATCAAGACAGTATGGTACTGGCACAAAGACAGAAATATAGGTCAATGGAACAGAATAGAAAGCCCAGAGATAAATCCACGAACCTATGGTCACCTTATCTTTGACAAAGGAGGCAAGGATATACAATGGAAAAAAGACAACCTCTTTAACAAGTGGTGCTGGGAAAACTGGTCAACCACCTGTAAAAGAATGAAACTAGAACACTTTCTAACACCATACACAAAAATAAACTCAAGATGGATTAAAGATCTAAATGTAAGACCAGAAACTATAAAACTCCTAGAGGAGAACATAGGCAAAACACTCTCCAACATAAATCACAGCAGGATCCTCTATGACCCACATCCCAGAATTTTAGAAATAAAAGCAAAAATAAACAAATGGGACCTAATGAAACTTAAAAGCTTTTGCACAACAAAGGAAACTATAAGCAAGGTGAAAAGACAGCCCTCAGATTGGGAGAAAATAATAGCAAACGAAGCAACAGACAAAGGATTAATCTCAAAAATATACAAGCAACTCCTCCAGCTCAACTCCAGAAAAATAAATGACCCAATCAAAAAATGGGCCAAAGAACTGAACAGACATTTCTCCAAGGAAGACATACAGATGGCTAACAAACACATGAAAAGATGCTCAACATCACTCATTATCAGAGAAATGCAAATCAAAACCACAATGAGGTACCATTACACACCAGTCAGGATGGCTGCTATCCAAAAGTCTACAAGCAATAAATGCTGGAGAGGGTGTGGAGAAAAGGGAACCCTCTTACACTGTTGGTGGGAATGCAAATTAGTACAGCCACTATGGAAAACAGTGTGGAGATTTCTTAAAAAGCTGGAAATAGAACTGCCATATGACCCAGCAATCCCACTTCTGGGCATACACACCAAGGAAACCAGATCTGAAAGAGACACGTGCACCCCAATGTTCATCGCAGCACTGTTTATAATAGCCAGGACATGGAAGCAACCTAGATGCCCATCAGCAGATGAATGGATGAGGAAGCTGTGGTACATATACACCATGGAATATTACTCAGCCATTAAAAAGAATTCATTTGAATCAGTTCTAATGAGATGGATGAAACTGGAGCCCATTATACAGAGCGAAGTCAGCCAGAAAGATAAAGACCATTACAGTATACTAATACATATATATGGAATTTAGAAAGATGGTAACGATAACTCTATGTGCAAAACAGAAAAAGAGACTCCTATGTATAGAACAGACTTGTGGACTCTGGGAGAAGGCGAGGGTGGGATGTTTCAAGAGAACAGCATTGAAACACGTATATTATCTAGGGTGAAACAGTTCACCAGCCCAGGTTGGGTGCATGAGACAAGTGCTCGGGCCTGGTGCACTGGGAAGACCCAAAGGGATCGGGTGGAGAGGGAGGTGGGAGGGGGGACCGGGATGGGGAATACATGTAAAAAAAAAAAAAAAAAAAGATACACTATGGTTGTGATAAAAAAAAAAAATAAAATAAAAATAAAAAAATAAACCGAATGACTAGAAAAAAAAAAAACATAAAATGGGAGTGATAATGATATGTATTTTGTAGATTTCCATAGAATTGAATAAGTTCATTAAAACACTTAGAATAATGTTTGGCAAAAAAAAAAAAAAAAAAAAGAAGGAATGACAGACACAAACCACTCAGCTTGCAGAGGCACCAAGCTTTGGGAAAAGACTCAGGACAGTCAAGGAGGGGCGTGCATCTCAATCCAGATACTTTCTGTTATGGTATCCTCAACACAACATGTTTCCTCAAACAAGCTTCCACAAAGCCAGGGCATCTAATCTCAGAAATCCAATTGTTTTGCTTCATTGCTATGCTATTTGAGAATTTAAGAAATACAAGATTCTTTTTGGCTCTGGCCAGAAATAAACCACTGCAGTGGGACAAAGAATTCCCCAGTGGATTATTGGGTTGACCAGAAAGAAAACAGGAAAGAACAGGAACCTGTGATCATATCATTATCTGCAAGAGCAAAATTTTGACTTCTCATTGGCAACAGGATTTCAGGGAGATCATCGATAAACATAGAAATGACTTTCTTGTAGTCATTTCCCATACTAAAATAAATAACTCTAACTGCAAAAAACATGTCTTAACAGCCATCACATAAATGTGAGTTTTTAAAGGCCCCACAAATACACACATAAACTATAAACTGCCAATGGACAAGAAGTGCTAGCGCAGCAGTGGGGAGGGTTGGAAGGAAATGAAAATAGAATAATGCTTTCAGAGTTTAGAGACAGGGCTTTGCGATCATGTGGTCTAGACTTTCCCACATTTTGGTCATTTGCAGACCACTTTCACTTTATCCTCCTTACTATTTTTCTTTAAAGTCAATATTCCTAGAAATCAAGGGCTTGTTTTGGTTTACTTGCCTAATACACATTAAAATTACTAAAATAAAAAATGTTTGTCAGCATGCCATACTTTGAGAAACACTTATTTACAATCCCAGTGGTGTAACCTTGACAAGGTATAACCAGACAATCTTCTCCTGATCTGACTGTCCATATGTGCTTGTGAAGTTCTCCCAAACGTATGGAAGTGTTTTGAAATCACTTTTTACAACCTAGTTTTTCTACAGTTAGGAATGTTCACCAAAAATAAAGTCTGCTATCCCAGAAAAAAAATCACTCCTAGGCATATATCTGAAGAAAACCATAACTCAAAAAGATACACACAACCCAATGTTCACAGCAGTACTATTTACAATAGCCAAGACACGGAAGCAATCTAAATATCCATCAACAGAGCAGTGGATAAAGATGCAGTACATATACACAATGGGATATTGCTCAGCCATAAAAAAAGGATGAAATAATGCCATCTGTAGCAATACGGATGGACCTAGAGATTGTCACACTGAGTGAAGAGAAAGACAAATATCATGTGATACCACTCATGTGTGGAAATTTTTTTTTTAATGGTACAAATGTGCTTGTTTGCAGAACAGAAATAAGAGTCATGGATGTAGGGAACAGACTTGTGGTTGCCAAGAAGGGGTTGGGGGGGTATAAATTGGGAGATTGGGATTGAGATATACACGCTACTGTATATAAAATAGATAATAAGGACCTGCAGTATAGCACAGGAAACTCAATACTCTGCAGTGACCTATCTAAAAATGAGTGTGTGCGTATAGATATAGAGATATACCTATATATGACTGATTCACTTTGCTATACACCTGAAACTAATACAACATTGTAAATCAACTATACTCCAATAAAAATTATTTAAAAAATAAAAGTCCTCCCCCTTTAGATTGTTTATACTCTAAATGGGGAGAAAAAGAATTCCAAACTTAATCATGTGTTTCATGTATTTACTAAGAAGGTATATCAAAATTAGCCAAACTTGGAAAAGTAGATAGAGTTCCAGGAGTGGTAACAAGTCCTAATTTGGGGTGATGGCAGAATATATTATAAAGAATGAGGAATTTTGTCAGGATAGTGAAATGCTTCATAATATTTTTTTATATTTTTCATTCTCAAATTTTCTACAGTAAGTGTTTATTACTTATATAATCAAAATGACATATTTTTTTAAGTCTAGATTTTGGAATCATTCTGACCCAGATTTAGATGCAGCCATTTAAAGCTGTTTGTGATCGTAAGCAAATTAACCTGAAACTTGATTACTGAACTGATAAAATAAGATAATGAAATCTTCACAGGGCTGTAGTGAGGAACATATGAAAACCTCCCATCACTGTGACTGGCACACAGTAGGAATCAATAAATCAAATGTAAATTCTTTCTCCCTATAAGATACATGAAATCTTTCTAAAGAAAATGGGTGAGGACATAACAGGCTCTTAAAAATGATCCCCACTCAAAGGCAAATCCATAAGGCCCTTGTTACCTTGACTGAAGCTGGACCCTTCCAGTTCAAGTACTGCTCTAGTTCTGTGCCCTTGGTCCGGGCCCTGGAGGAGTCAAACACTTTCCTCTTGGAACCCTGCATCCTGCGGCAGATGCTGGAGTGTCTCTCCAGCCTGAGCAAGAGAAACTTTCGGCCACAGTGGCTGCACTCGCCCAGTTCTGGCTCTTCAGTGGGACATCTGGAGCCTGAAGAGTCTGGTGCCCTGGATGAGCTAGAATTGCTGGTGTATCTCTGCAAAGTGTTGAACGGTGCTTCTGGAGCTTGAGAAAACTTCTTCAATGGCCCTGAGACTGGGTCTCGGATTTTGTTATTGCTTGCCACCAGTCTTTCCCTTTTGAGCTTCTGAATTCTATAATCAGAGAAATGGAATGGACTAGCATTCTCTTCAGATTGTCCCCAAGTTTCGTCTTCTCCTGTGTCTCTGTTGAAGACCTCCTCAGACCCGAATGCTGGAGAGAAGATAGGTTTGTACATGGAAATGCTATTATCTTTAACTCTCCTCCGGGAGAGCACCATTCTCTGTAGCTCTCTTTTTTCATTTTCCTCAGCCTGCTCTTTTTCCTTCTGGATCCTTCTGAGTTCCTCCTCCGTCTTCTTCAGCTTTTCCCTCAGAAGAGTCTCTTTTCTGCGGATTTCCTCCCCTAAGCTCTCCCCTGCAGCTTCGAGTCTTTGGATTTGCATCCACTCTGTCCTGCTGGCATTTGCCATGACCCTTTCCTCCAGAGTGGCAGCAACTGGACCAACCATCAATGAATTCACCCAGTTCCTTGAACCAAAGCTACTGTTCGAATACTTTCTTGGCTCAGGGGTTCTTGGAGAAGCGTTCTGGTCCCCATCAGTGCCAGCCTCACCTGTACTATGGGACTTCCGATGAAACACAGGTTTCAAAGGGTATGCCCGGTCTACCCCCACTCGCTTCTTTGTCAAGGGGATGAATTCCTGGTCATTTGTTTTGGGATACCGGGACTGAGGGTCTGATGCGTAAAACAAACCCTTGGCTTGGCCCTGGGGGTTGCTCCTTGGATCATGCTGGCTCATTCCAGCACAGTGGGGATATGAATAGCTCTGGGCTTTTGTGCAGGTGTTCCACTTGGGGTGAGTGTAGAGATTATCCAGCATCAGTTCTTGGTTACTCAAAAGCTTCTGCTGGAAATTGTTCCTCAGGTGCCCTGCAGAGGACCGCTGGGAAGAGTCACTTTTTCTGTAGGGGTCTTGCTTAGCTGAATGGAGCTCTGGAGCATCCCTTTTATTATGTGGGAGCATAACGCCCATAGGCAGAGGCAACGCCAACTGGAGACCAGCCATTCAGGGCCTGGACTGAAGCCTAGGGGAGAGTTAAACCAGACATATGTGAGGAGTTTGTCTGAGGTTCACCTCCACTTCTAAAGTATAACTGTTTCTACATCTGCCTACCCACATTTTCCCTTAGACTTTTTAGGGACACTGGTGCTGGGTCCACCAGAGCTTTCATTCAATAAGCATTTGGTGAATGCTTACTGTGTTCTGTGGCTGCTTATCAGGTTCTGAGGATAGAAAAAGGAGTGTGACACAGATGTTCTTGCCACCTACCTTTCCTTTATATCACTACCAGTCTCTGCCATACACAGTGATGCGCTCGCACACACAATAATACACTTCATTGCAGATGGAAAGAGTTACTGGATTGAAAGTCAGTTTTTAGGCCTGTGACACAGGAGAAGCAGCTTCCCTTCGCTGGGGATTCGCCCAGAGTTACAGGACTGGAATTCGGGGGACGCAGGACTCTGAGTCCAGCCCCATCATTTTAAAGGCGAGAAAACTGCAGCCCATTGGTAAGTGACCGGCACAAAAACTCCCAGGGCTTCCCTCCTGCTGGAACCGAGCTAGATCCTAAAGAGCACAGAGCCGGTTCAGGGCATGCAGCAGGTGCCTGGCTGCCAAACCCTCACCCAAGAACCACATGATCCGGCCACCGCGGGTTTAGATCGGAACGCGGAAGTTGCGTCCTGTCCTGGAGGGTCACCCGGGACGTCCCCGACTTGTGACTCCGCTTCGGGGACAAGCCCTCGGCTCTTCAGTCCGTCGGGCCTTTGGGAGATCAAGGCCCTGACCCCATGCCTTCCCGCCCTTCCGCGTACCTGAGGCTCTTTTGGAGGCGGCTCCCGCTCAGGGGAAGCCGCAGGACTCAGGCTTCCTGACCACACGCCCTCCCGCAGCCGCCGGCCGCGCAGGAGCTCTCAGAGGGCGGCTGTTATTCCCGTTGCCTGGAGACGGGGGCACGTGCGCGCGCCCAGCCCCGCCCCACCGCTGGGTGGTGGGAGCGGGGGCGGGGGGGCGTACGCAAGCGCAGTCCGCGCACCCGGGGCCGCCGGGGCCGCGGGCGCGGTCCAGCAGCGTCACTAGACGGGGTGTCCCGCCAACTCTTCAGCTCCGTCCAGCCCTGCCCTTGGGGAACGTGGGTAGGGGGTGGGAGAGGCTCTTCTGGGGCTCCATCAAAGAGCTTGTATTTTGCCCAGAGCGATGCTCTCCGATCATGGGGTGTGCCCTTCTCTGGCAAAAGACGGAGCGCCTAGATCCGCCCTCCGGTCATTCTGCCGCAAGATCCCGGTGTCGGCCCTCCTCTTAGCGGGAGTGGGCATGCTGATCGCCTTTCTTGGCACGCTCGGCTGCTTGGTACGGGCCCCAGGTAACGGCTGTCGACTCTTTCTCCATGCTTTTCCTCGCACATAGTTTGGAGCTTGCGTCAGATTTTAGCAACTCCGCTAGGTTTTGCTACGCAGTCTCTTTCCGGGGAAGTTTTTGTAGCCAATCTCATTATTTTGATATAATGTTTTCCTCTCATGTGGTAACTCTGGCCCTGTCTTCTCAGGGCCCAAGAATGACTCAGACAAGTGTAATGATAATGAAGCTAACCACCAGATCCAAAATACTCAGTGTAACCTGGTTTCAACCCTAAAGATATTCCATAACTCGTTAACATCAAAAGAGAGTTTATTTGTCTTCATACTTCAGTTCATTTGTGCAAGCTGTTTGAAACAGCCAGCTTACTCTTTCCCTTGCAACTACTTAAAAAGATTCATGCACATGGAAAATAATATAGACAGCAGTGGTCAGTATTGCTACTTCGGCATGTCATATTGCATTTTGTACATGTTATAAATTCCTTGATGGTGCTCCAAAGCAGTCTTTTGATGCCCTGTTTTCTCTCCTAGTTGTCTCTCAACTGCCTTCTCTGTGTATGCATTTCCAGACGTTTCTCACTCTTTTCAAGGTCCCAATTATCTCAGCATGGGGCTTGCCTGTCATTAACTCCCAAAGCTCCTCTTTAGCCTGGCAGAATTTCCCAGGGTGCCTCCTTCCATCTTGACTTTTTTCCATCTTGTTTCTGAGGAAGAAAAAAATCTTTGTCTTTCCTTGAGTTCTCTTGACTTAGTCCCTTTCAGTACCTTCCAGGAATTGACTCACCATACCCATCTATCTTGTTAACTTCAAGTTGTATCCATCCACGCACTCTGCTTTTAGAATATGCTTAGCTTTGCCTTACCAAAAAAAAAAAAAAAAGCTTCATTTCCCTTGACCTCACCTCTCACCTTAGGGTTCCAATCCTTTCTTCTCCACAAGACTTCTTAATAGAAAGCTTTACATTTGCTGTCCCCACTTCTTTGACTCTCCCTCATTGTCTAGTCCATTGTGGTCTGGTTTCCTTGTCTCTGCTTTTAACTGGCCAGGCTACCAGTGACCTTTCAATGACCCTAAAGACAAAAGCTGCTATTTCTTCAGCTTACTCATTTGACATTATTGATTTTTTCTCTCCGTTGGAACTCTCTTCTCACTTGCTTCTCTGTGCCTTCTTGGTTTCTTTTTTCATGTCCTTTTTCCATCTTCTTTCATATTCTTGCGTTTACATCTTTTCCTCACCTGCCTCCCAAATATAGTTGTTCTCCAAAGCTTATTTCTCATATAAATGCAATTTCAGATGTTCTCTTCCATAACGATTTCAACCAAATGCTGAAATTTCAGTTCTCACCTATGTTTCAATGGCATCTTAGTTCTCCCCCTTAGTTACAGACTCAAGTTTCCAAATGCCCACGTAGCACATGCACATGAATGTTCCTCAGATATCTCAAAGTCAATATGACAGAAAACAAACTTGTGATTACCTCCCTATTTCCCAAGCCACTTCTCCAGTGTTCCCTCTCATGCTGAAACATCAGTCATCTTGCACTCCCCCCATTTGTCACCCCTTCTCTCTAACTGGTCAGCAGGCTCTGTTGAATTCATTCTGCAGTGTCTTTTATATATGTCCCTTCCTTTTCATTTCTCCTACCCTAGGTGAGTTTCTTCACTTCTCACTGGGACAGCACCACTCTCCTGCTATACATCTGCTTCTTTTGGCTGTTCTGAGTCTTCACTGTGTTGTGTGGGAGCTTCTCTAGTTGTGTTGTGTGAGTTTCCGTTTCCTGAATGAGGATCGAATGTGCGTTGAGAGGTTAACCAGTGGGCTCCCAGGAAAGTCCCTATCCTAAATCCTAAATACATCTGAACCTATCATTCTCCTACCCAATGGCTTCTTCTTTACCTACAGGATAAAGTTGAAACATGCCTTGCCTCCCCAGAGTCAACCCTAGCTGTGTTTTAGGGCTACCTGGAAAGCAGTTTTTCTGGAGGTAAGGCCTGGGTATCAGTCTTTTGTAAACTTTCCCCCAAAGTCCTAATGTACAGCCAGGGTTGATATATACCCAGTAGTATATCAGTAGTATATACTGGGTAATATACACCCAGGGTCCAGCCACATCTGACTACTTATACTGTCTTACCTCAGTGGCCTTACTCCAACTCCATGTACTGGAAGGTGGTAGAACATAGCCTTCAGTACAGAGTAGGCTCTGTACTCAGACTGCCTGGAACTAAATCCCAGCTCCATCATTTACTCTTTGTGGTTGTGTAACCTTGGGTAATATGCCGTTTCCTCCAAGAACGCTTTCCCAGTCTTGCCAGCCAGAAGGAATCTCTCTGCTCCTTTGTGCTCTCATAATATTTTTTTGTCACAGGGCTGGCTTGTCATGAGCTCTCAGTGGATGTTCATGGAACTGAATTCTCATGTTGTGTACTGCATTGTCATCATTTGCATGCATATTTGCCCCTTACCGAAATAAAAGGCTCTTTAAGGACAAAGATTATATACCATCCATCTTTGTATATCCTACAGTGTGTATACATGTAGGCAGTCAATAGTTTAATGCTACAGAGAAACTAGTTGTTTTTTTCCATTTATTTTAGAAACTAGTTTTTTTTTTTAATAAATTTTAAAGAAATAACATCAGCCAGTTACTCTGTTCAGCATTATTTTCAAATATTGCCTAGCATGACAATTCAATCCAGTTTCCAACACCACTCCCACCCCCACACCAGCACTGAGGTCATATGACTCTGCAGGATCTGGACCCTCACTTTGTAGTGGGGAAATAATGGAATAATGAATCTCCATGGCCTGCAAATCCATCTCACCTTGCCAAGTCCACCAACCTGGCATATTTACACATGGAGTTTTATGGAGGGATGTAAGGTACACAGCACTACAAAGAGCAACAGTAAGCACCGCAGTTTACCTTCATTCACATTCTTTATGTATATATATATATATACATATATATATATATATATATAACTTTTTTTGTTTGTTTACTTTTGATTGCACTAAGTCTTCATTGCTGTGCCTAGGCTTTCTCTAGTTGTGGCAGGTGAGGGCTACTGTCTGTTGCAGTGCAAGGGCTTCTCATTGAGGTGGCCTCCCTTGTTGCAGAGCACAGGCTCTAGGTACTTGACCTTCAGTAGTTACAGCACGTAGACCCAGTAGTTGTGGCTCTCAGGCTCTAGAGCTCAGGCTCAGTAGTTGTGGCACATGGAATTGGTTGCTCTGTGGCACGTGAGATATTCCTGGACCAGGGATCAAACCTAAGTCCCTTGCACTAGCAGGCAGATTCTTATCCACTGCGCCACCAAGGAAGCCCCATATGCATTCTTAATCATAGGATATCTGGATATAAATGCCTGCAAGGTGACCTTTGCATTTCCCTCGTGACTCAGACAGTAAAAAGTCTGCCTCCAATGCAGGAGACCCGGGTTCAATCCCGGGTGGGGAAGATCCCCTGGAGAAGGAAATGAAAACCTACTCCAGTATTCTTGCCTGGAGAATTCCATGGACAGAGGATCCTGGTGGGCTATAGTCCATGAGGTCACGAAGAGTCAGACATGACTGAGTGACTGATGCACACAAGATGACCCTACTTTTAACAATCATCACCCACAACTCCCCTTGACAATTCCCTTCTCTCCCTAAAGAAATTCATGCAACTTGGTCACTTGGCTTAGGTTGACTGATTCAGTTGTGATTCTGGAGCCCTGGTTTATTTTGTTTGTGCTTGTGATTAGTTGCTTTAGATAAGCATTGTTTAGAGTTTTCTTAGTAAGGTAGACTTACTTAGTAAGGTAGACTTAGTAGACTGGTGGGCAGCTTCCAGAATCACAGTGGGAGAAATAACCTTGCATGCGACCTCCTATACTCTTGTTGCTGCTGCTACCAATTCCAGACTTTAGGCATGACCCAGAACTGGAGGAGAACTGAGGAAAAGGGCAGAAAAGTTTTATGTCTTGGATTTAATTTTTTTGTTTTGTTTATGATGTTTAGTGTTTGTCGTCCGTCTCTGTCTCCAGAATTTAAGATCCTCCAATCCAGGGATCCTTTCTGTTCGTTAATGTGTGGCGAGCACCTAGAACTGTGGCTGGCACACAGAGGCTCTCAGGAATTATTTACAGAATGATTGGATTTATCTCAAGTGTTTCTTCGTCTTCGTCCTTCTCCCCAAGAGAAACTTAAAAAAAAAAGAGGTGCGCTTAGTGACCAAGGTAGGATGAGGACGCGGTCAGTAGAGTCGTGGCCGAGACCCTGGGCAGATCCTTCCCAACCCGAGGGTCGGGCGCTCCTAGACACGCGCCTCCCGAAATCCCACCCTCTAGGCGGGCTCTGGGCCGAGCGCGCCGTGTGTGATTGGTCGGTGGAGGTGATGGACAGGAGAGGCGGCGAAGGAGGAGCCGCCCTCGAAGCTTCCGGGCGCAGCGGTTACGCGGCTGAGGGGTGACTGTTGGCCTGGTGGTCTGCCGGGTAGTCCCTAACGCTTGAGAGGACGACAAGGAGGGTGAGCCTGGGATAGGAACCCGGGGCGTGCCCATGAGTTCGATTAGCTCTCAAATTTAATAGGAGGGGGTGCTGGCGGCAGCGTGGAAGACAGGTCTGTGGGAAGAGGGAAGGATGGAAAGGGAGCGGGACCGGGGATGGGTTGTAGGGAGGTAATTGGATAAGCAGGTAATTGCCCCAAAAGAGGCCTCTGTGGGCAATCGCGACCCGAAGCTCCCTTGCAGATGTCTCCCTGTTACTTCAGACACCCGCGCTTATACGTATCCGAAGTACGGGCACCTTAAGGTCAGGGAGAGGTCGCAGTGGTTAAGGATGTAGAGGTATGGGTGTGACTCTTTCTGCCTAAGGATTGGAGGCCCTGGAGTAGGATAATGAGCCCTTTACTTTTCTGCTATCCTGGTCTCTGACAGGTTTGAGCATGAGCATGGCAGAAGGGGATACCCTGATATCAGTGGATTATGAAATTTTTGGAAAGGTGCAAGGAGTGTTTTTCCGCAAGTACACTCAGGTATGTGGCCTACCTACCTTATCAGCATGGGAACAAGAGACATGTTCCCGAAAAATATTCTTTGGAGAAGCTGGCTCTTTGGTAACTGAATGGCAAAGAGGTGGTTTGTGGAAGAATAGGTATGAAAATGCTTTGCAATGGGTAAACCACAACGCAAATGGAAGCTTTTCTGTGTGCATGCATGCTCAGTCGTGTCCAACTCTGCAACTCCGAAGACTACATAGCCTGCCAGGCTCTTCTGTCCATGGGATTTTCCCAGGGAGAATACTAGAGTGAGTTGCCATTTCCTCCTCCAGGGGATCTTCTCCACCCAGGTCTCTTGCATTGGCAGGTGGATTCTTTTACCACTGAGTCGCCTGGGAATCCCTACTGGAAGCTTTGTCTGCTGTTATTATTGGTCTAACAGTGGTATTGAGTACCAACACACATATGGATGAGCTTCTCTTTTACAAAGAGAAAGGGCTTCCAGTTCTCCCTATTGGGGCATCATCAAAACAAATCATAATTCTTACAGGAAAGTTAACACTGATCAGAGATGACATTTAAATGACTGTGTAATTTATGTCACTGCTTCCTCTGTAGCTGTTGCATTTTCTTCAGACCTTTTTTTCTCTTCAATCCTCTCCCATTCCCCTACTTAATTCCTTAATTCTGCTCATTCTAGGTTTTAAAGAACAAGTACCTTTTCCAGGGGAGGACTTCCCAGGTGGCTCAGTGGTAAAGAATCTGCCTGCCAATCCAGGAGATGCGGGTTCTATCTATTCCTAGGTCAGAAAGATCCCTTGGGGATCCCTTGGAGAAGGAAATGGCAACCCATTCCAATATTCTTGTCAGGGAAATCCCATGGACAGAGGAGCCTGGAGGGCTACAGTCCAAGGCGTCACAAAGAGTTGGATACGACTTGCCGGCTAAGCAACAACACCTTTTCCAGGTGAACTTTTCTAATGAAAATACTTTATTCATTCCAGGGTAAGTAATAGTAACACTGAACATGGAGCCTGGTATTACTATGACATATTAGTAATTGAGGAGATGAACAGACTATTGACAGCCTCTGCCTTAACTTCACTAATCTTCCCTAATGACAAAGATGAAATCTTCGTTTGCCTTCTGTCTTCTATAGGGGAGTATCAGGCTATCGCCTTCCCAGTGTATCTCCAACCCCAAAGATAATGAGTTAAGACTGCAGAACTTGCCAAAGCCACTTAAAAGTTCAAACCTGAATCTTTGAAATGTGAATGTTAAGTGTCACTACCTCTTTTTCCAATGATTTGCACATCAGTTCCTCCTGTCCCCTGCTCATATGTGAGTGCCTGTTGAAGAAAAGAATTACTGAAAGTCATAGCAAGAGCTATGTTTCAGATAGCTTTGCCTCCAGTCATGTAGGGTAGGCTTCCCTGATAGCTCAGTTGGTAAAGAAGCTGCCTGCAATGCAGGAGATCCCGGTTCAATTCCTGGGTTGGGAAGATGGAGAAGGGATAGGCTACCCAGTCCAGTATTTTTGGGCTTCCCTTGTGTCTCAGCTGGTAAAGAATCCGCCTGCAATGCGGGAGACCTGGGTTCGATCCCTGGGTTGGGAAGATGGAGAAGGGAAAGGCTACCCTCTCCAATATTCTGGCCTGGAGAATTCTGTGGACTATATAGTCTGTGGGGTCACAAAGAGTCAGACACAACTGAGCAACTTTCACTTTCATGTAGGGTAAATTCCTATGGCTTAATAAATGGATTAAAAATTAATGAAGATTAATAAAAGTTGTTGAGGGAAAAGGAGCAGATGGCAGGAGAGCCCATCTTTATAGCACCTTCCACCCCTCAATGTAAAGAGATAATAAAAGAATGCAGAAAAACAATTTTTAAATATTTATTTATTTGGCTGTGGCGGGCCTTTTAGTTGCGGCTCAAGGATCTTTGTTGAGTCCTGCAGATCTTTTGTTGTTGAGCTAGGACTCCCTAGTTGGGGTTGGGGGGGGGTGGGGGAGGGTTGTGTGTCTTAGTTGCTCTGGGGCATGTAGGAAATTAGTTCCCCTACCAAGGATCAAACCCACATTGCAAGGCAGATTCTTAACCACTCTACCACCAGAGAAGTTTTCTTTATCCCTGTATTATTTATTAACTCCTGCTCTAATCTTTGTTATTTCCCTTTTTTGCTTGATTTGAGTTCAGTTTGCCCCTCTCTTTCTAGTTTCTTAATGTGGAAGGTCTAGGTTATTGGTTTGAGGGTACCTTTTTTTTGAGATTGAGACTAGAATTGGTGATTATAATCTTTAAAATGTTTGCAGATGACTGTTCAAGAGGAAATATGGTTATGAGGGAGGATCAGCTCTTGGGAATTTTCTTAGGAGAAAGCACTACTTGCTTGTTTAGATATATAGTCAAAGCTGAACATGAGTCAGCAATATTGTGTTACCATTTAAAAATAAGAACAGAATCCAGTGCACGGATAAAAAGCCATAGGAAATCCCTATTCTCAACATCTGTCAAAGTTGGGAGTGTTTTGTTTACTCTCAGGAGTTCAAATAAATCACACTGCAATTTAAAGTGTATCAAACTATTATAACCTCCTGCTCAAAACCTCCACACAATCATTCTTATAGCAAGTTACCATATAAGGTAGCTAAGAACTAGGCACAGCCCACTCCCCTGGGTTAACATGAAGTAGAAGAGAGTGCAGTTGTTGCACAAAGTCAGTGGGACATGGAGTCTTATTCAAATCCATTCTCTGTATTCTTTTTTAATGCTTCAATCTACAACCCTTAATCATGTTGTAGATATCTCTTATTTTTCTTGATTTCTTAATTTCCTCCATATCCTTTAAACTGTTATTTGACCGAAGTCTCTTTTGTTCATTATGCAAACATGTCTTTGCTTTGAACATAACTGATTTGATGAATACTTCAGTTCCTCATCAAACATACTTTTGCTCTGCATAACATTTTCTTTGGCCAACTCCAGCAATTTCCCATATTTACTAGATCACTAGTCCAGCATTTGGACATGCAGTCATGTTAACTCCCATTTTCTTTTGTAATCCAACTCCTTCTATTTAGATAGAATGTAACAAGCAATAACTTTTATAAATCCTTAGTTGGAAATTTTGCAAAAATAATTGCCTCTGAAACATTGCTACTTTCCCCCAATTTTCAGTTATTTCACAGTTAATGCTTTATAGGAAAGAACAATAGAAAGTCTAAGAAAAGAGCAGTTACAATGATTAGATGTTTTTCCTAAGCTTATTCAACATTAAAGGCCTTGTGATTATTTAGACAGAAGAAAGTCAAGTGAAAACAATAGTTAATGTGGTCTTATGAAATGTAGTTGTTTAGAGGCTGATCACCAGCAACTTTTTCCTTCTCTCAGAGGATGAGAGAAGATGGGCTTTGAATGCAAGGTAAAGACCTTGGATTAGACAGTTTCTTTACAGTGAGAACAATGGAATGATTTGCCCAGGAAATTGTGAAATACTCTCTAATGATCTTTAAAGATACTTAAGTCATTGGACACTTAATGGACACTTAAATCATCTGGGTTTGTTTAGGTATGGTCTTGGCTAAAGAGAAACAGAAGGATCGGATAACTTTATGCTTTTTTCTATTTAATATATCTGTTAGATTCTTGATTAGGAGAAGGAAAATGAACAAGATATAGTCCAGTATCCTAACGAAAATCAGCCTTAGAGAATCATTTTGAAAACATCTGATTTGGTCTTAAATCTTTAGTACTTAATCAAATTAACTATGCAGTGAAAAATTCTGGTGCCTGGGTTTTATAGGGTGGAAGAAGGAAATGGGAGTCAAGTGGTCAACACTTCACATTAAGATCAGCAATGAGATTCTCCTTGCTGTAGTTCTGTTTTGACTGTTCTGGACAATATCAAATTAGTTTCAGTGTCTTGATTGTAGGCCAAGGTTCTGGCAAGAGATTGTAGTCTCACTTTGTTTTGTTCAGTCTCACTGGATTTCTCCTCTTTGTCTTTTTCTTTCCCTTAGGCTGAGGGTAAAAAGCTTGGATTAGTAGGCTGGGTCCAGAACACTGACCAGGGCACAGTGCAAGGACAATTGCAAGGGCCCACCTCCAAAGTACGTCATATGCAGGAATGGCTTGAGACAAAAGGAAGTCCCAAATCGCACATCGACAGAGCAAGCTTCCACAATGAGAAGGTCATCTTAAAGCTGGACTATGCAGATTTCCAAATTGTGAAATAATGGTCTGCATTTAAATTTTCCAAGATACTGAGTGGTTTTTTTTTCATTGTTAATAGAGATAGAACTATTCTGTGTTCAATATTAGAATTTGTCAGTAAGTTATTTTAGCATGTTACTTGCTGGTTACTGTGTATTATATGTGTGATGAAAGAATTAAAACTATACACAATTCTAATCAATAAAAACAACCCTTCTGTGTAAGATACTTCTTTTCTTTTTGATGAACTTCATTTTGGGCAAAATAAGAGGCATTTACTCTGTGAACATCTTTAGGAAGAGAACTTTGAGGTAACTTAAGGAAATCTGAAAGAAAAAGCAGTTACTTTTACTCATTTCTTTTTAATAGGTTCCACAAAATTTTCTTCAGGAAATTGTACCTAATAAGAACAAAAATCCTGGGACTCCCCTGGTGGTCCAGTGGCTAAGACTGTGAGCTCTCAATGCTGGGGCCCTGGGTTTGATCCCTGGTTGGGGAACTAGATCCCACATGCCACAACTAAGACCTTGTGCAGCCAAATAAATAAATAAATATAAATATTAAAAAAAAAACACAAAAATCCTAAAGTTCAATTTGTTAGCTGTCCAAATGATATCTGGGTTTCCCTGTTGGCTCGGTAGTAAAGAGCCCGCCTACCAATGCAGGATATCCCAGGTTCAATCCCTGGGTCGGGAAGATCCCCTGGAGGGGGAAAAGGCAACCCACTCCAGTATTCTTGCCTGGAGAATCTCATGGACAGAGGAGCCTGGCAGGCTACAGTCCATGGGGTTGCAAAGAGACACGACTGAGCACAGCACATACACAAATGATATCTTGGACCAATTATTTTACATTTTCTGTAGTTTCTGCTGTCATTTCTGTCCTCCAGGTAAGGGATTCACATAAACTGATGCTATGGGTTAAATTATGTTACCCTCTCACCCCTGCCAAATTCACATGTTGAAGTCCTCTCAATACCTAAGTATGCGACTACATTTGGAGAGAGGGCCTTTATAGAAGTAATTAAGGTTAAACAAAAACAATACCCAGTTGTGGACTGGTGATAGAAGCAAGGTCCGATGCTGTAAAGAGCAATATTGCATAGGAACCTGGAATGTTAGGTCCATGAATCAAGGCAAATTGGAAGTGGTCAAACAGGAGATGGCAAGAGTGAACATCAACTTCCTAGGATCAGCGAACTAAAATGGACTGGAATGGGTGAATTTAACTCAGATGACCATTATGTCTACTACTGTGGGCAGGAATCCCTTAGAAGAAATGGAGTAGCCATCATGGTCAACAAAAGAGTCTGAAATGCAGTACTTGGATGCAATCTCAAAAACGACAGAATGATCTCTGTTTGTTTCCAAGGCAAACCATTCAATATCATGGTAATCCAAGCCTATACCCCAACCAGTAACGCTGAAGAAACCGAAGTGGAACGGTTCTATGAAGACCTGCAAGACCTTCTAGAACTAACAGCCAAAAAAGATGTTCTTTTCATTATAGGGGACTGGAATGCAAAAGTAGGAAGTCAAGAGATACCTGGAGTAACAGGCAAATTTGGCCTTGGAGTACAGAATGAAGCAGGGCAAAGGCTAATAGAGTTTTGCCAAGGGAACGCACTGGTCATAGCAAACACCCTCTTCCAACAACACAAGAGAAGACTCTACACATGGACACCACCAGATGGCCAACACCGAAATCAGATTGATTATATTCTTTGCAGCCAAAGATGGAGAAGCTCTATACAGTCAGCAAAAACAAGACCTGGAGCTGACTGTGGCTCAGATCATGAATTCCTTATTGCCAAATTCAGACTTAAACTGAAGAGAATAGGGATAACCACTAGGCCATTCAGGTATGACCTAAATCAAATCCCTTTTGACTATACAGTGCAAGTGAGAAATAGATTTAAGGGACTAGATCTGATAGAGAGCCTGATGAACTATGGGTGGAGGTTCGTGACATTGTACAGGAGACAGGGATCAAGACCATCCCCATGGAAAAGAAATGCAAAAAGGCAAAATGGTTGTCTTAGGAGGCCTTACAAATAGCTGTGAAAAGAAGAGAAGCAAAAAGCAAAGGAGAAAAGGAAAGATATTCCCATCTGAATGCAGAGTTCCAAAGAATAGCCAGGAGAGATAAGAAAGCCTTCCTCGGCAATCAATGCAAAGAAACAGAGGAAAACAACAGAATGGGAAAGACTAGAGATGTCTTCAAGAAAATTAGAGATACCAAGGGAACATTTCATGCAAAAATGGGCTCAATAAAGGACAGAAATGGTATGGTCCTAACAGAAGCAGAAGATATTAAGAAGAGGTGGCAAGAATACACAGAAGAATTGTACAAAAAAGATCTTCATGACCCAGATAATCACAATGGTGTGATCATTCACCTAGAGCCACACATCCTGGAATGTGAAGTCAAGTGGGCCTTAGACAGCATCACTACGAACAAAGCTAGTGGATGTGATGGAATTCCAGTTGAGCTATTTCAAGTACTGAAGGATGATGCTGTGAAAGTGATGCACTCAATATGCCAGTAAATTTGGAAAACTCAGCAGTGGCCACAGGACTGGAAAAGATCCGTTTTCATTCCAGTCCCCAAGAAAGGCAATCCCAAAGAATGCTCAAACTACCGCACCATTGCACTCATCTCACACGCTAGTAAAGATGCTCAAAATTCTCCAAGCCAGGCTTCAGCAATATGTGAACCGAGACCTTCCAGATGTTCAAGGTGGTTTTAGAAAAGGCAGAGGAACCAGAGATCAAATTGCCAATATCCACTGGATCATCGAAAAAGCAAGAGAGTTCCAGAAAAACATCTATTTCTGCTTTATTGACTATGCCAAAGACTTCGACTGTGTGGATCACAATAAACTGTGTAAAATTCTGAAGGACATGGGAATACCAGACCATCTGACCTGCTTCTTGAGAAATCTGTATGCAGGTCATGAAGCAACAGAACTGGACATGGAACAACAGACTGGTTCCAAATAGGAAAAGGCGTACATCAAGGCTGTATATTGTCACCCTGCTTATTTAACTTATATGCAGAGTACACCATGAGAAACACTGGGCTGGAAGAAGCACAAGCTGGAATCAGGACTGCCAGGAGAAATATCAATAACCTCAGATATGCAGATGACACCACCCTTATGGCAGAAAGTGAAGAAGAAGTAAAGAGCTTCTTGATGAAAGTGAAAGAGGAGAGTGAAAAAGTTGGCTTAAAGCTCAACATTCAGAAAACTAAGATCATGGCATCCAGTCCCATCACTTCTTGGCAAATAGATGGGGAAACAGTGGAAACAGTGGCTGACTTTATTTTTCTGGGCTCCAAAATCACTGCAGATGGTAACTGCAGCCATGAAATTAAAAGATGCTTACCCCTTGGAAGGAAACTTATGACCAACCTAGACAGCATATTAAAAAGCAGAGTCATTACTTTGCCAACAAAGGTCCGTGTAGTCAAGGCTATGGTTTTTCCTGTGGTCGTGTATGCATGTGAGAGTTGGACCGTAAAGAAAGCTGAGCACTGAAGAATTGATACTTTTGAACTGTGGTGTTGGAGAAGACTCTTGAGAGTCCCTGGACTGCAAGGAGATCCAACCAGTCCATCCTAAAGGAAATCAGCCCTGAATGTTCATTGGAAGGACTGATGCTGAAGCTGAAACTCCAATACTTTGGCCCCCTGATGCAAAGAGCTGACTCATTTGAAAAGACCCTGAAGCTGGGAAAGATTGAGGGCAGGAGGAGAAGGGGACAACAGAGGATGAGATGGTTGGATGGCATCACCTACTCAACGGACATGAGTTTGGGTAAACTCTGGCAGGTGGTGATGTACAGGGAGGCCTGGCGTGCTCTGGTTCATGGGTTCGCAAAGAGTTGGACATGACTGAGCGACTGAACTGAACTAATCTCACAATCCCCTTAGAGGTCCACTCTCATTCCATTAGAAAAATACCAAAAAAAAGTCAGCGAACAGAGTCTTCTTGTCCTCATCTGTAAATTAAGAATAGAGCTATATTGATTCTTCATCTTTCCCAGCTCTGAAATAACTACAGATCTTTAAGATGGAAAGCTCTGGATTAATATTTTAGTGTCTAACATAAGCCTGCAGTTCATGGGATGACAAGGAGTCCGACACGACTGAGTGACTGAACTGAACATAAGCCAGGCACTGTTCTTGCCATGGAGATACAGCAGCAAATAAAAACAGACAAATATCCACATTCTAGGGAGCAGACAGATGATAAGCAAATAAAATATCATGCTTGGTCGTGCCTCTTCGCACCGCATGGACTGCAGCCCGTCAGGCTCCTCTGTCCATGGGGTTTTCTAGGCAAGGACACTGGAGTGGGTTGCCATGCCCTCCCCCAGGGGCGCTACCCTACCCAGGGATCAAACCCTCACCTCCTGCATTGGCAGGCGAATTGTTTACTACTGCAGCACCTAGGGAGCCTCTGTTGAATTAAATGGTAGTACGCACACAGGAGATATGAGAAGGGAAAAACGAGTAAAAATTGCTAGAAACAGCTTTTCACGCCATGCTAAAACGGGATAAGGACTGGAAACTTCGGTGTACCAGTGAGAAGACACCTGGGGACACGAGCGTTTCCAAGCCGGCGACGCCTGGTGCGCATGCGCATCGGGGTGTCACGGCCTTGAGGGCGTCCTCCGCGCTGTGCCTCAGAAGCGCATGCTCGCGGGCTCGCGCGTGCACGAGCCTCACGTGCACGAGCCACACCAGCCAACGAGCGCGCGCCCGGCGTCCCAGGCGGTTGGTATCAGGGAGTTGGGGAGGTACGATTCCAGGTGACTTGGCGTAAAGCACGCGAGCAGAGGACGATTCTGGGAGCTCGTTTACCACCCGAAGGGCCTTGGCGACCGCTGCGGGCCAGCCTTACGGAACCGCCGCGCGAGGGGCCTGGGAGGCCTCCCGGCCTCCCTTCGGCCGGGCGCCCGAGCCTGGGCGGGCCGGGCCCGGGTTTCCGGTTGCCAGCTGGGAGGGGGCGGGGGTG